GGGGTGGATGACCGCATGGTTAGCACGTGCGCGCTGTATCATAAGGTCTGTGATTGAGTCAACTGGCGTGGTTATAAGGTCTGTGATTGAGTCAACTGGCGTGGTTTTAATTCCTCGGTTGTACGTGACAAGGATAAGGGTCGCCTGTCCAACCTCGTGGGTTTTCTCTGGTTCCTCCGGTTTCCTCCCACTGCTAAAGACCCCTACGCGCAAGCGAATTATTGCAATAAAATTGAACCATGTGTTAGTCCCGAAATGACCTAGTTTGTGTCGAGTGGACGTTAAACCCATCTCTCTAGACACACCAGGCGCAATTAAACGACTACCATTCAATATGGACTGCTCGCGTATTTCAGCGAACATAACTAATTGGAAATTACAATAAAACGCTTAATGTACTTTAACTCATTATTTAGAATCAATTTATAGCCAATATTCTACGGTAAAAATAAAATTACCGAAATTGATGAAAATCAACGAAAATTTAAATGAGTGTTCAGAAATACAATGTGCTATGAGGGAAATTTTGCCTGGACAGCGGCACTATACGGTCTACTCGTATTTCTAATTCCAGCTATTAAGGGTTCTTTTTCGTCAATGTGTGTTCGGGACCTCGGTTTTCCAATCACTTTTACCTGTCCTGTCCCCGGTCCATTGACAAAGAGAAACCACGCCGGCAAGTCCCGATGAATTTCCTCGGCCAACGCAGCGATCGAACCGTACCGTCATTTTAACGAGCGAACATCTTACTCACAGAGCCACCGTGGCCCGCTAGAGATAAAAATAACAGTCTGATATGTACAGAGCTTTATCATCGTAAAATATCAGATTATTACCTATCTATTACAATTAGAATATATATTCTTAAAAAAAAGTAGGGGATATTCAGAAACAATACAAAACTGCGGAAATGCACTGCTGTTTTTATTCGAGGTAACCAGTGTATGTTAATAACAGGGCAATTGTCTACACGTGAACGTAAACAGTTCATATGGGCGGCTTATCTGGCGGCCCCATTTCACTCGCAAAGAGATACACCGCCAAAAGTGAAAATGGACGTTTTTGATTTTTGTCTTATTAATGAGTAATTGCTCCACCAATCCTCAGACATTCAGCAATTCGCCGTGGCATGCTCCTAATCAACCGTCCAATCACGATTTAGGGCAATCTGACCCACTCCTCTTGCAGTGCCATGGCCAATTCTTGCAGTGTTTTCGGTTGACGTTGACGAACACGTCTCCCGATCAAATTAAACATAACACACTAAAGCAAAGATACGCTAAAAAGTAAATCTTATGCAAAAACCGATAGAAAAGCAAACATGGATAGATAAACCAGCACGCGGCAGTTTTTCATCAACCTGTCCTCGAAGTGTCAAATTTGACAATGAACCCCTCCCACGTGTATGGCGCTATTGCGTGTCACATGTGCAGCTCAGTGGTTCTGTTGGGGCGATAAGTTCTTCATCTGTGAACATACTCTCAAAGCATGTCAAGTGTCCATGACTATTTATCATATCACAAACTGCATAGGTATTTGCATTTCAATATCCCCTACTTTTTTTGAAGAGTATATTATATTCATATAAGTAAAAATATCTTGATAGATATCGTTCAACTTTTAAATTACTTTTTTTTTTTTCACACCAAAATGTTTTGGTATATCGGGGTGGGGGGGGGTATTTTTTCTTAAAGGCTCAATACCACTCTTGTTGTAACTGAATTATATGTCCCAATCTCTATTCTGGTCAACAAATTGCGCTATTTTACAATATTCCAATTAATTGATGATACAAATTTCATATTAACACACCTAATTTAAAAAATTGGAAAAATTCAACTAAATGATTTGAAAAGCCTGACGTAAAGCTTTTCAAATGTGACTTGGATTTAAAAATATTTTTGAACCCTCTGGACAAGTAAAAGGATTTAATGGATAATTTACACAACAGGTAGGACACTAACACATCTAGTACTTAGAATAAGGCTATTTTTTATATTTTGGAGCTGTCAAGCCAGCAAGAGTGTTATTGTCCCTTTAATGACGGTTTGATCAAATGAACAAATAGCTTAAATGTTGACGGTCATAGAGGTATAAAATATTAATCAAGGTTTCGCATATCGGTGTAAATTAAATAAAATATCTTAGTAGGCAAGAATACCGTTTACAAAGATGAGAAATCAAATGAGGTTTAAACACCCTACTGTTCTGCTCCGACTGGGCTAATGAAGATAGGCATACGCCATGCATTGTGCCCTGACAGTGACACTCTTATTTTTGAATTCCAACTGTCAAGTGATATCGGTTTATTGTCCCATCCGAACTACTAGACAGCTGTCCTTATCTGGCCCCACTTCATGCACAACTGACAAGAGGAAACCACGCCGGATAATCCCGAGGAAATTTCTCGGCCACCACCGAGACCTCCAGGCTAGCGAGTCAGCGTCTTACTTACTGAGTCACCGCCGCTCCCTCCTGCGATACACTCTCTAGTACAACTGATGCCCATTTCTAGCAAGGCGGTGGTTCCAGAATACAAAAGGTCAAACATGCAGATCGACAGACAGAGAGAAAATCTATAGTCCCCTCCGGTTTCACCGGTAGACATTTAACTGACACTACATGGGTATATATTATGAAAATTATATATATATTATTCACAAATAATTAGTGGGCTGACTCCAAATAATGTAGAGTTACTCCCCCTTCAGCACATACAAATTAATGCATGCAGAGACATACCCAAGCACCGCGTTTAAGAGTTTTAAAACTATCGGCAACATTTTTACAGATTTATATACCTACAATTGCTAATCTTTTCTAAGGATTTGTTTCTTATTGGTTTTTTTTCTCAGGTTCAGGTTTTGTTTGGGGTAGGATGAAACTTTCATATTTGTCTGGCATAAATAGGCATTTGAGTGTAAACAACTTCTGTTTAAAAGGGACAATTTCACTCATGCTGTAACTACATAAAATGTCCCAATCTTCATTCTGGTCAACAAAAGCAGGGGACTATTAAAATGGGTTTGTCTGTCCGTCTGTCCGTCACACCGTTTGGGACACAATAACTCTCTTTCTAATTAAGCTAGAATGTTCACACTTGGTGTAGGTGTTTATTAGATCAATGTCTTGATGGAGTTCGATAATGAGCATTTTCTGCTTAAGGTAAGCAGAGATAAGCAATTTGATTGGTTGATGCTTTGGGACACGATAAGTTTAGTTCTAATTAAGTGAGAGTGATGAAACTTGGTGATGAGACTTTGTAACACGCCTACTCTCATTCTAATTGAGTAAGAATGTTCACACTTGGCGTAGGTGTCGTTAAGGTGAATGCCTTGATGGAGTTCGAAGATGAGAAATTTCTGCTTAGGATAAGCAGAGAGAGGCAAATTTGATTGGTTGATGCTTTGGGACACGATAACTTCAGTTCTAATTAAGTGAGAGTGAGGACACTTGGTCAATACCTTGACTTAGTTTGATGGTGAACATTTTCTGCTGAGGGTAAGCAGAGCGATAAGCAATTTGATTGGTCGAGACTTTGGAACACAATAACTCTCCTTCTAAGTGAGCTAGAATGTTCAAACTTGGTGTAGGCGTTCATTAGGTGAATGTCTTGATGGAGTTCTACGATGAACGGTAAGCAGAGATAAGCAATCTGATTGGTTGATGCATTTGGGCATGATAACTTTGGTTTTAATTAAGTGAGTTATGAAACGCCGATTATAGATCCATTATATCATTACCTTGACTAAGTTCGATGATGAGAATTTTCTGCGTAGGCTAAGCTATTTGATTGGTCAAGACTTTAGAACATAACATTTCTGCTTTTAATTGAGGTAGAATGTTTAAACTTGATGTAGATGTTCCTTGGGTAAATGTCTTGACTGAGTTCAATGATTAACATTTCGAGTTAAAGCTAAGCAGAGCTAAGCAAATTCATGGGACAAGATAACTTTGGGACAAGATAACTTTGATTCTATCCGATAGAGAGTGATGAAACTTGGTGTATTATAATATTATCAGCCAGTTTAAAAACCCAAGATATTATTATTTTGGTGAACGTCAGTACCAACTGATCCATTGCAGGATTCGTAACAACAAAAGTAATTTAAAGTACAATATTGGTGTCAGTCATAAATACATATGTGATAGAACTGGTTAAATACATCCCAAATACAACTTTAACACAGAGATCATTGCTACGGGAGATGTGTAACAAGCACGTGAAGAAACGGGAAGTGACGACAAACATGACAAACACGAGTTATCCTTCTATGTATCTGACTGATGTAACGAGCGATAACGGACAAACGATCGAATTTCATTTCACTGATAATTCCGTTGAAGTTGAAAAGTTATTATATGGGCCGGTGAGAGGGTATCTCACAATTCAAAAATAGAATTGGCTGTCACTAGATAAGGGAAAACGAGAAAAATAGAAAAATCCCGTGCATTCCCCCGTTTTTATTCATACCAATTTTCCCTTCCATCTGAACGACAAGACACTGTGCTTGCCAGGGCTATGGTTTAATGTGACTACAAGTTCTATGCTGGACACAATTTATATGAAGTTAACACAATATTCAACGACCAATTTTAATTTGATTTTAACAATTAATATCAATATACAAAATATTATGCCATATTATTAGTAGTAACATTCCAATATCACCAGCTTTGCGCATAAACTGTTGTTTTAGACCCCACTACCCCACCACCCCACTCTCATCTGGATTCGCCCCTGCAAGGAAAACCGCTACTAAAAAGTTCTCCGTACATAAAGTAGAACAAACCCTGTATAATCTTAGTGCTAGGCAATTGTTGATTCTTACGATTCTTCTCCGACGGGCTACGTCATGTTGTGTAGGGAAAGTCTGCCCTGACAGAGGATCCCAATTTTCCGTTCCATCTGAACGACTAGACACTGTGCTTGCCAGGGCTATGGTTTAATATGACCACATGTTCTATGCTGGACAAAATTTATATGAAGTTAACACATATTCAGAACCAATTTTAATTTGATTTTAACATTTATTGCAGACATAATATCAATATACGTGCATTCCAATGTATACACGGGACCTTGGTTTTTCGTCCCATCTTATCGACTAGACAGCTGTCCTTGTCCGGCCTTCCGTCCAGCACCACTGACAAGAAGAAACTGCGCCGGAAAATCCCAGCAGCGGCATCCTACACACATAGCCACCATGTTTGTTTATAATAATGCAAGAATTATGGGATTTATTACGGGAAGGGGCGCAACTCTTACTTGACTTGACCAAAGAAACTGGATAATCAACCACATAGAAAATAACCCGAGTATACTAACAAATGCGGAAAAAACTCCCTGGCAACTTTTAGGCTTTACACCAATTAGATTCCGCTACACGCAATCCGGATTTATCCAGAAGAATGGTGTATTATAATTATCTTCCCTTGGACCAACAGAAAAACACAATTTGCGATTATAAATGAATAAAATAACACAAACAAATGATTTAAAATAATAAAATGAACAATAGAATAAGACAGAATAGTTATCCCCTTCCTAGGTTCAATACTAAATCAAGTCCATAAAAGCCTCGAACTCACTCAATGTAAACAAGTACGTTTTTATGAACGGTTGAACTAATACCTATACCTGGCTACATAATGAAATGTTATGTTCAGTTACGCTTTTGCTCCAGTTTCATGACGTGCCTTTGGTTTCAAGTTCGCCATTTTTGTCCTTTCTTTCTCAAATTCTTTACAGAATTCATCAAATTGATATGTTTCCATTGCTTCACGCGGTGACTTTCTCCAAGTTAAAACATGATCCGCCATAACTGGTGACCTTTTCCGCAGTTCTTTGGCCACTTCTTCAATGTTTGAGTTCATGGTGTTAATAAAGTCCTTATCATAGAATCTAAATGGAAATTTATCTACGCGATGTGCAATACCTTCCGGATCATATAGAGCACAATCTAAATTTTTATTCGAAAATCCTAAAAACAGTAAAAGCTCCCTTAATTTGTTTTCTTTGTTCTGTAGTAATTCATCATAAAATAAAACAAACATATCTCCTTTAAATTGAAGCCAATCGATATGAAATGTCTTCCACCGATCTGTTTTTGGGAATTGTCCATAATCTGAAAAAAATATACCACCCGCTCTGAACATATAGGTGTCCGATATAGAGCTAAATCTGCCTATTGCAGGTTATATAAATTTTCTGGCTTCAAAAGTTATATAATCAACTTTCCAGGCCATGGGCATCCCCGGTGGTTTCATCCCGTTCTACTCCACTAACCCCTAGGTTAATCTATGGGAGAGACACGTTTTCAAATTATTCGCCCCTGATGATTGTACTATTTTTATCGATCAATCCCATGCATCTTTAATTGAAAAGGAAGTTTGCAAAGGGAAGTAACTCTCATCGGACAATTTTAGGAGTTCAAATATGAAATTAATGAATACCGACTAAATTGTCAAGTATAAGTTCAATAATAATAAACATAACAGAATGAAACATTTCAGATAAAGAACGAATAGTAGTAAGAAATATATACATTATTTACACAAATCATTCAGTAAATGGACATGAATTTGGTTAATTACCCTTATAAAATCGTAGGCGAAACGACTGGTTTGTAAACTGTTTCTTGATTGGTTCGTAGACCTTATCTACAATCAAGGCCAGGGCAGATAATTTGAAATCGTGGAAACCCTATGGATTAAACCAGGGTATAGTGGAGTAGAACGGAATGAAAACACTGGGGATGCCGAGGATGGGCCATGGGATGGCTTAGGTTTTAAACCATATCGCCATTTAATAATTTAACCATGAAATGGATAATCGATTTTCTTTTGTCTAATTGTTACATAATCCACTTTTAATTAGACCATGCAATAATAATATCTGGTAGTATTTGGCAGCAAGTATATTAAAAACATTTTGGGTCCTTTTTTCTATAAGGTGTGTTTGGGGTGGGGTGGGGAGGGTTCATTCACCCTTGAGAACTCGCTTTTCCAACTCAAAACGAAATTACAAGAACAAAATAATATGAAACTTTACTAGCTAAAAAGAACTATAAAACCCCACGCTGTCTCAAATGGTGTGGAGGTTTTGAGGTTGGGGGGGGGGGGCGAATGTTCAGCGCGTGCGCGTTGAATCATAAGGTCAGTCATTGAGTCAAGTGGTGTGGTTTCGATTCCCCGCGTGTACTTGACAAAGAAAGAGTAGGGCTGCCTGTCTAATATCACGGGTTTTCTCCGGGTCCCCTGGCTTCCGCCAACTGCTAAAGGCCCTTACGCGCAAGCGAATTATTGAAATAAAATTGTGTGAGAGAGAGAGAGAGAGAGAGAGAGAGAGAGACAGAGAGAGAGAGAGAGAGTGAGATTGGGTTTAACGTCCACTCGACACAAACTAGGTCGTTTCGGGACTAACACATGGTTCAATTTTATTTCAATAATTCGCTTGCCCGTAAGGGGTCTTTAGCAGTGGGTGGAAACCGGAGGACCCGGAAAAAACCCACGAGGTTGGACAGGCGACCCCGCCAGTTGACTCAATGACAGACCGTATGATACAGCGCGCGCGTGCTAACCATTCGGCCATCCACCCCCCCCCCCCCCCCGAAATAAAATTGAACCATTATGTTAGTCCCGAAATGGCGTAATTTGTGTCGAACGGACTTAACCCCCCCCTCTCTCTCTCTCTCTCTCTCTCTCTCCCCCCGATAACCCGTCTCTTTATGCAATAACCCATCTGCTACCACATACTTTATTAATTCGCTGCGGTTAGTTTCTGAAGTTTATGGTTTTAACGTCGTGTTTTTGTCTACCAGCTTTGTTTATGGGTAAAACAGGGTCTAAAATCAATATTTTTTTAACAATTCAATGTGTGCTTTTTAGTGAAAAAAAGCGAATAAGCTTACGTCATACATAGTAACGTCATGAATATTGTAAGACAATGGTAATGGCAGGGTGTATCACACATCTAATAATTAAGTTAGTTAGACATCACGTCAGTATTATTAGATAATATATGATTGCCCGTTAAAGCGGAAATTGCATATTTTTAAAATTTATTAAAATAAAGCCTGAAAATAGATGGTATCCATAAACAGTCCTACCATGTCAAAGAATAATCCTATTAATCCTATAATTCACTATTGCCAGCTGAGAAATTGGCAAAAATATCATTCTCCTCTTCATGTTCAAACGTTGAAAAAAGCTACTCCATGGTGGAGAATAGAAAACAAGGGAGGTAATTGGGAGGTAATTGTGTTATTATTTCCTGTGTAAATGAGTTGTAAGTATGAGAATGACGCCTATGATCGTGGTAATCGGTGGTAAACTGGTCTAGTAATCATTAAAAAATATAATATTCTGGCAAGGATTGACACTTTACTGTATTAATTATTAAGCACATCTCACAAAACTGGGCAATCTACAATTTTTCAGTGTTTATAAACTAATGTTTTGGCCTGGATCAAAATGCGTTAGAAGAAATAAAACCACCAGTAAATGAAATGTCACTTTAATCTCAAAATCTGAATGGCAACACCGTCGTTATTTAAACCCATATAAATAGCGCATTACTGCTAGAAGATATAATCCTACCCCCAAAAAAACAATAATTCTAACAAATTAACCATTATAAATTTAGTGATATTAGCCCTGAAGACGCCGTAATGCCGAAAGATCTTGGCACTAATGTAAAAGTTATTTAAATATAGATTATTCCATCCAAATATTAGTATTTTTTGGGATATATATATCTTATATAATTCAGAGGACACACTCACTTGGAGTCTCTACAAAAATCGACAACTTACTTACATCACACATGTTATATTATAATCATCCAGTTAATAATTCTCCGTGATTATTTTTACGATTCCATAATAAATTCTCAACAACATAATATATGTATGTAACACATGGGCAAATGATATTTTAAGTAGGCACATAAAAGAGACAGAAATGATAAAAAAAAAATCTGCCAGACATAAAAGGGAGGGGTCGATGAGGTTGAGAATGTCATACATTAAGGTAGGCTGTGTTTTTGTATGTGTGTGTGTGTTTGTGTGACTGTGTGTGGGGGGAGGGAGGGGGGGGGGGCTAAATAGAAATACAGCCCATAAGTTGTTTTAGCTTAAATTCTAAAGGTAAATGGTGAGATATATGAAAATTTGTGATTAATAAATTAATTAGTTGTCGAGATATCGCATTCTGAAAAGTTATTTCGGAATAGCGCGTAAAAATTTATACCCGGTCGTAAGATTTACGCCAGTAAACACTCGCCTATTACTAAATCATATTTAGCCAAATGCTCTGAAGCATTTGTTGCTTTAATAGAAGAATGATAACAAGTTACTAACAGGGGGGTCCGGGGTTCGATCCCGATGTTGGTCGAGAAAGTCTGCGGTTTTCTAGCGTGGTTTCCCCTGGAAGGTCTGACAAGGAATAGCGTCTAATCGTTCCCAATAGTACGAAAAACACGGTCTCGTATACTCCTTGACGTTCATGCACGAAAAACATCCCTATACAACTGGAATTCAATTGCTGTCCGAGAAAGAAATATCCCTCCTAGCACACTACGTGGCGCACGCACGTCTTCATTATTCCGCTTACAGCAGAAAATAAAGAGAGAGAGAAATGGGGTTTAACGTCCACTCGACAGAAACTAGGTCATTTCGGGACTAACACATGGTTCAATTTTTTATTTCAATAATTCGCTTGCGCGTAGGGGTCTTTAGCAGTGGGAGGAAACCGGAGGACCCGGAAAAAAACCCACGAGGTTGGACAGGCGACCCTACTCCTTGACACGTACAGCCGGGGAATCGAAACCCGCCAGTTGACTCAATGGCAGACCGTGTGATACAGCGTGCGCACGTGCTAACCATTCGGCCATCCAACCCCCCAGCAGAAAAGAAGGATGAAAGAGAATAGAATTTATAGTCTTTCCATTTAAAGATACCTTCCCGGTAACAAATTGTGTGATTTGGTGATATATTTCGACTAAAAATATATTCAAACTAATAAATTGATCAAAAATTGGCTTCAAATCCCTCTCAAAACTTTGTATTCTCTCGAGATACCCCAGGCAATAAAAAAAATTGTTTTTGAAGCCATGTTTGTCACCTAATTTGATTGAGGGAGGGTCCGGGTTTTTTTCAGAATATATTTGTCATTACTTACTGTCCATTTACCATACATATTGAGTCCTAAGTAAATTCTTGAATTATTTTCCGTCAAATCTTTTGTTCCGCCGTCTATTACACGTTTACACCCCTCAGTGTTCCCAAAACCGCCTAACCATTCGATCAAGAAATAACAACCGCTCCCTCAGTGAAGCTAGCATACAATAAGCCGTCGGGTTGCCATTTCGTGATATCCTGACATTTTTTGTGCGATTTTCGGGTAATCCAGTATTTTTCTAGTAAAATGGGCGTCTATACTTTCCATATATGCTAAATTTGCCATACTTTTATTGAAAATAACTACCCAATAAATACTTTCGTGACAATGTATATTTAAGGCCCTGTAAGATGGATACCCAATCGCCATAGATCTTTAATTTGCTGGTAAATAATTCTCTTTGTTAGATTCTAACATATAGTCTACGTGTGTACTTACGTGTACAGTAACCTTTTTTGTCAGATATACCCGTCTGACTCGTGGATAAAATGAGATTGAAGAAAGACCAGTAGGCTTCAAATGGATTTCTCATTAACAGAACAGCACGTTCATAAGCTACCTTATGCTTCCGGAGAAGCATATGAGTTTTTATAACTATAACCGATCCATTAGTAACGCCTTCCCCAAAATAACCATATTTGGTAATACGCGGATCTCTATATATTGCTCCGGTATATATACCTGAAAAATGTTAGACAATGTTAGAATCTTTATACAGTCCCCTTGTGTATATACCTGAAACATATATGGTGATATATAGAAAGGTAGTTTACAGATAAACATAATGTTCCTTAAGATCACTGGAAATGCATCATCAATGGACCCTGCTTATAGATCAAAGCAGGTATAACCTGTGGGGAGACGAGTAGTAGACTCGGTGAGTAAGACATTGTTTCGCTAACCAGGAGGTCTCCTGTTCGCTCCTGGGTATTGGCCGAGTTAGTTCCTCGGAATATTCCGGCGAGGTTTACCCTCGTCAGCGGCGCGGGCCACTATCCTGCAGAACGGCACTCAACCAGATTGCAACTGAACTGATTGGCAGCTAATTGAATATGTAAGAATACCCAGGTTGACGCTCAAAATCAGACTGCAGTAATATCAGCACTCAAATTCTTGTCTCCATGTTGTCTGTTAGCATGGACTTCACCACGGATTTTGATATCGCATAAATATTGTTTCACGTTGTGTTTGGCGTGGGTTTTTTTTCAGACTAAAACTCAGGAAAATCGCGTTCATCTTAATGTGTTTACACGTCATCTTTATATTTTGGGCGCTATCGCTCCTGATATGTGGATCTTTTACTTTCTCTACCCTTCTAAAGAAAAACATTTGTATGACATATTGATATAAAATTAAATCAACGTCTTGAAAACACTATTAAATATGTTTCAAAACACCATTAATTTTTATCTTTTCCATTAAGAATTTTCATATGGCAAAGTTAACTCATTATACACCGTGTGTTTGTTCAATTAGGAAAGGGCAAATCAGCAGGGGCTAACGAGTATAAAATCAGTGAAATACGCACCTGTAGATTTTTGAAGTAAATGTCTTGTCCAGGTGTTACCTGAACCAGGGTAGCTAGCCAGAGCTGTCACAGGTAACGGTGTTTTGGCAAATCCTAGCTTAGGGCAATTCTTAGGTTTTTCAATCATTTTGGAATATGACGCAACGCTTCTCAGGTGTAGTTTATAAACACCATAGATACAGCAAATAAATAGAATTATCCCAGTAATCGCTAATGTTCTGAAAACCGCCATATATGTGTGATATATTGAATAATTGCTGAAATTAAAGCAAAACGGTTGACCATAACAGAAGATTCCGTAAGAAAGATAGATAGATAGATAGATAGATTCCACGCTTAGGCTTGAGGATTCACTAGAAAGGATAAGATTGAAGGGCGTGTGACTCTATCATTTGGAATCTTAAAACAGACGATGATGGGCCTAAATGCACATATCAAAGATACATTATGGGATATTAGATAATGGGAGATCGCAGATCTGTACCGTGATTTCAGCGATTGAATTTTCGGCCTAGCCTCGACCATCATTAATAAGTCGGTACGATACAAAACATAGTCTCGATTATCTATTTCATGATAAAATCATGAGTGGAAGTCGAGTAGCAAATCGGAACCTAATCCAATAAGCATCGCCGGCTAGGGATGACATCGAGAGTTGATTATGGTCAGAATAAGTTAATTAATGTTTAATTAATAATTTAGATAACATTCCGGGCCTAAAGAAAGACCTACAATAGGAATATTTAGCTCTTGCGTAATGTATGTTTAATAGAATATACTCTTCAAAAAAAGTAGGGGATATTGATTTCAAATACCTATGCAGGTTGTGATATGATAAATAGTCATGGACACTTGACATGCTTTGAGAGTATGCTCACAGATGAAGAACTTATCACCCCAACAGGGGGGTTGGGTGGCCGAATGGTTAGCACGTGCGTGCTGTATCATAAGGCCTGTCATTGAGTCAAATGGCATGGTTTCGAATCCCCGGTTGTACGTTGTCCAGCCTCGTGGGTTTTCTCCGGGTCCTCCGGTTTCCTCCCACTGCTAAAGACCCCTACGAAATGACCTAGTTTGTGTCGAGTGGACGTTAACCCCCATTTCTCTCTCTCTCTATCTCCCCAACGGAACCGCTGAGCTGCATGTGCGACATGCAATAGCACCATATACGTGGGAGGGGTTCATTGTCAAATTTGACACTTCAAGCAAGGGTTGATGAAAAATGCCGCGTGCTGGTTTATCCGATCCATGTTTGCTTTCCTATAGGTTCTTGAATAAGATTTACTGTTTAGCGTATCTTTGCTTTAGTGTGTTCGTCGACGTCAACGTCAACCGACAACACTGCATGAATTGGCGGTGGCAATGCAAGAGGATTGAGTCAGATTGCCCCAAATCTTGATTGGACGGTTGATTAGGAGCATGCCACGACGAATTGCTGAACGCCTTAGGATTGGTGGAGCATTTCTCATTATTGAGACAAAAATCAAAAACGTTAATTTTCACTTTTGACAGTGTATCTCTTTGTGAGCGGGGAGATCACGTGGCTAAGTGGGTAAAAAACTGACTCGCTAGCCTGGAGGTCGGGTGTTCGATCCCTGCATTGGCCGGGAAAGTTCATCCAGTTTCTCCAGCGTGGTTTCCCCGTGTCAGTGATGCAGGACGGAGGGCCTGACAATGACAGTTGTCTAGTCGTTCTGATCGGACGATAAACCGGGGTCCCGTGTACACATTGGCGTGCACGTAAAAGATCCCTTGGATTTTGGAATTCGATATAAAAGTACGCCATAGCGCCGCTGCCCGGGCAAAATTTCCCTCATCTAGTCCGATCCTTAATGTAAATCCGCTGGCTTTTCCGGTAGAAATCTTGGAATAAGCTTTATTTTGATGGTTTCGATGTTTAATGACAAAAAAACAATGTTGATATTTTTTCTGAGCAGGTCTTCTTGTAGATAACAAACCTTAATCTCTCAACCCTCCGTGTTTCGAGATAAGAGATGATGCTATTACCTTCAATGTACGTTCTCGTAGCTAGTCTTCTTGGTATGGGAGGCCATTATCTGAGGGTAGCCATTTTCGATAATATTCCAACTTATTTTTTTTTATTTTCACCCTATTTATAATGTTATCGACATATCAACTGTAATTTGGCACTGCATTAGTATTCACAGGGGTCATGACTATATTTCGCATTTTCGCCGCGCCTATAGTGACTGCGCCATGCTCACTCCATCCTCATTCACTTTCAAAGCAGAGAACAACCAAATACCAAGCAATCAAGAATATTTTTTAGTTTCTTGATCTTTCTTCTAAGGATGCTAGACTGGAACTGCTGGACGAGGCTCAGTACCTTCCCTATATATACAAAAAATTCGTAACAGCGTGGTTGAAAGTAGTGGGTATGGTGGTATATTAGATTCAAAATTCTAACATGCTCTCGTCTAATTTCTTACTTCCATTCATGTAATTTCTAACTTCCATTCATGTAATTTCTAACTTCCATTCATGTAATTTCTAAATTAAGACAATGTATAAGCAGTTTTATTTGTACCGCGCCATGCCTCGCGTCGCCACGCCCCCGTGTCTTTTCCGTCGTCGCCCCGCCCCGCCCCAAAGACCATCACATGTCCTAAAATCCCTGCAGTCCATTGTATAGTTAATTCTATTTGTCCATTTAGTTTTGTTATTTCCTCATTTACGTAGTTGATTATTTATAATTAAGTTAATCATCTATAATCTAATTATCTATAATCTAATTATCTATAATCTAATTATCTATAATCTAGTTACTATTTTTTCATGAATTCTTTTTCATGAATTATTCATAATTCAATTTTTTTTTTCATTAATTAATTTTTTTTTCTCAATCTTTTTTTTTTCCATAATTAATTTTTCTTTTGATTATTTTTTTTCTTTCAATATTTTTTTTGATTTTTTTTTTTTCAAATTTATTTTGATTTACTTTAATTTGATGAAATTATTTACAGATCTGGTGACAGATTTCAATTTGAGTTTTTTTTAAATTTCAAGACCGAAATCGGGTTTTAAATAAGAGAAATGAAACGACGTTTAACTATTCACCACATACTGGCTAATGGGTATTAGATTAATATTTTGTAACTTGAATATTCTCAGATTTAACCAATCAAATAATTGCAGTCATTTGTAGTATTAAGTATTACGTTATTTTAAAAATACAAGCTGTATGCCGTTAACGCGGGAGAAAATGGTTTAAAAAAAATGATAATTGTAATCATTATCGTATTAATCAAATATGTTAATGAACATATTAATTGTTTCATATTAATTTAGGTTAGTTAAACCCTAACGTACTTAAAGGTTTTTTATTTTAGCATTTGAAATATATTTAAGAAAAAAAAAGTGGTCAGTTCTTTAAAAAAACAGGTTAATATTACATTATGTATTTAACAGATATTTTAACAGATGTTTTTCGGGGGAGTAGGTGAACTTTTGACCGATATTCTAAAAAATGCCATGGACGATAGGCCAATAACCTCTATATTCCTTCAAGGCTATTTTTTTAGGGGGGGGGGAGGGTTAATGCTAAGTAATTAAAAAAAATTACAAGCTGTATGCTGTTGACATGTAAGAAAATGGCTTTTAAATACAAAAATGACCAGATAATTGCAGTCATTTACGTATTAATTAATACGTTAATTAGCATATTAATTGATTTATATTAATTGAGGTTAGTCAAACTCACGTACTTGTTTAAAAAAAAGTACAAGCTGTATACCGTTAACGCGTGAGAAAATGATAATTGACGAAACTCCCCCCAGACGAAACTGGAGAAACTGCCCCAGGACGAAACTGGAGAAACTGCCCCAGGACGAAACTGGAGAAACTGCCCCAGCGAAACTGGAGAAACTGCCCAAGCGAAACTGGAGAAACTGCCCCAGCGAAACTGGAGAAACTGCCCCAGGACGAAACTGGAGAAACTGTCCCAGCGAAACTAGAGAAACTGCCCCAGCGAAACTGGAGAAACTCCCCCACTACCTAGAAAGTCCCTCCCCCCACACACTACTGATGACATAAAAAAGGTAAAAATAAAAAACAATAAGTTGGAATATTATCGCAAAATGACTACCCTCAAATAATGGCCACCCAAATTATGAAGACCTACTCAGAACAAAATGTCAACATTGATTTTTTGTCATTAAAAATCAAAACCTTCAAAATAATGCTTATTCCACGATTTCTACCCGAAAAGCCGACGGATGGGAATTATGTAACAAACCCAATCGAACTACATAGCACACTGTATGGCGTATGCCCGTCTTCGTTAGCCCAGTTTAGGAGCAGAACAATAGGACGTTAAACCCCATTTGATTTCATTTCATTGAGCAAAATGGGGCCGTCAGATAAGCCGCCCATATGAACTGTTTATGTTCATGTGTAGGCAATTGGCCTGTTATTAACATACATTGGTTACCTCTAATAAAAACAGCAGTGCATTTCCTCAGTTTTGTATTGTTTCTGAATATCCCTTACTTTTTTTGAAGAGTATATAAATTTATATAAAGTGATTTAGGCCACGCTACAGATTTTTTATTATTATTTTGTCGTTTGTGAATCAGCAATGTCTTGTATGATATGGGTTTCTTTATTCATTACAAATGCTCACTGTGTCTTAAATATTGGATATTACGATCCCATATTTTGCTTCATCTATAAGCTTGTATTGAAAATTAAGTCTGATTAATATATTTCAAAGCTTTATGTATAGTTTAAATGTATAGTTAAAATGGCTTTAATTAATAAAAATACGAGGAAAAGAACAAAAAATACTTATAATGTTCCCTAATACAACAGTAATTATTCTTGGACAATTTTACATAAATACTCTTCGTGGATGGGTTAACCATCCGTCAATTTGGGTTCATTTGAACTTTCTTAGTGGGCTGAATTTTAGATTCCATTCCGTCATTAGAAACGAGAAGCGTGATTGTGCCTTAAAATGCAATAAAGAAATTGACTGTACCTTGATAACGCGTTGTCCGGTGTTTCACGATTCAGTTGAATGATAAGGTGTAATGTGTGTTACATACATAGATATTATTATATCAAAGAATATATGAATGTGGTAACACGTGTTTATGCGATTTAACATGTAATAAAGTTATTCAGCAATGAAGTGAAATTTTATTTCTCTTCTAACTTCCTTAAAACACAATCTATGGTGGTTTAATCCTGTGATGCTGAACTTGACAAATATATGCATAATGATACCAATGTTGCATGTGGACATTCCAGGGGTCATAATTTTTATCCGATTTTGATGAAATTAACAATGTATGCTTATAACCGAAAGATATCAGTTCCTTTCGATATTGGCGCATATAGGACCGTCACTTCCTGGATTATGGCCCCTGATTGTACGAACAATCACACTGTTACTGTATAAGTAATAGTTTTCATTTAATTATAAAAACCGTTCAATTATATCCGATATTGACGAAACTTGAAATATAGGTCTATCTGAATACAGTGCCTGATGTGTTCAAGAGTGTCCTTGTTTTTCCATTGATCAAAAAACCAGGCTAAGATCCGAACTTGGACAAAAATTACCGGCCGGTGTCTAACCTTAGCTTTCTATCAAAAACTCTGGAGAGGGTGATAGCCAATCAAATTACGACCAATATATCTGAGCATAATCTTATGGAAGAATACCAGAGCGCATATAGAAAATTCCATAGTACGGAAACAGCTCTACTCCGTGTTCACAACGACATTACCATGTGTCTGGATAAACGTGAATGCATTCTGTTGATCCTGCTGGATTTATCAGCAGTATTCGACGCCGTTGATCACGATATCCTCATGTCAAGATTAGAATGTGACTTTGGAATCCAAACTAATGCCCTGAAACTCATAGAATCTTATATAAAGGGTCGTAATCAAACTATTATAGTTAATGGTGTATCATCATCTAAAATGTCTTTAAATTGTGGTGTCCCACAGGGATCCGTGTTAGGACCGATTTTATTCAGTCTATACACTTCTCCCCTTTGTGTAATCGTTAGGAAATATGGGCTTTCATTTCATCTACAGCTGACGATTCACAACTTTACATTTCTTTTATACCTCATCAGGATGACCACTTCCATATTTCAAAATCAATTTTGGAACAGTGCATATTAGAAATAAATTGCTGGATGAGTCAAAACTTTCTCAAACTCAATGACGATAAGACAGAATATTTGCTTATTGGGTCGAACAAAAATTTAGAGAAATTGGATAACAACCTAAGTATTAAAGTGGGCGATAGTGTCATCTGTCCCTCTAAGTCGGCTCGGAACATTGGGGTAATTTTTGATTCTCACCTGTCAATGGAAAGTCGTATAAATCATGTGTATAAATTAGGATACTTTAATTTGCGAAATATTGGAAAACTGAAACCGAATGTGTCTGCAGATTATGTGAAAACTCTTGTTAATGCATTAGTGACTTCTCGCATTGATAACATGAACTATTTATTATATGGTATCCCTGCTAAATATATCGATAAACTACAAAAATTACAAAATTCTGCAGCTAGGCTTATTACAGATGCTTCTTATAGAGAACATATAACCCCAATCCTTTATAATTTACACTGGCTCCCGGTTCAATCTAGAATAACCTATAAAATTGTATTGTTAACTTTTAAAAGTCTCAATGATCTTGCCCAAACTTACTTATCCAATCTTTTAACTTTATATTCACCATCCCGAACTTTACGTTCTTCTCAAGATCATTTTCTTTTAAAGGAGAAAAAATCAAACCTGTGGTAATCGTGCTTTTTCCATTTGTGCACCAAAATTATGGAATAAACTGCCACACAGTATACGCAGTTGCAATTCACTTCCTGTTTTTAAAACGAAACTCAAAACCCACCTATTTACTCTTGCTTTTACATAATTCTCTTTTTACACTTTATATATTACTGGGTTTTTTTAATTTAAATGTGGATTTCTATATTTCTATTTTTACACGAACTACATATTTTTAAAACCCTATCTATATTCTATATTGATATTGTGATTTTATCCATTATGTTATTTTTATTGTAAAGCGCATCTGAACATGTTTATCATGAAAAGAGCGCTATATGAATACATGTAATAATAATAATAATAATAATATATGAAATTCCAACTACTCTACTAGACATCTGTCCTTGTCATGCCCTCCGTTCTGCACCACTGACGCGGGGAAACCGCGTCCGAAAAATATACCATATAGAAACCGCTTATAATACTCCGTACATTTATCCGTACATTGTTTATAATACATTTATTGCTTAATCACATAAACCACACAGTTATTGTTTATGACATATTATATGTTTGAACACAGTATGTTCTTTATATTACATTTATTTTCAAATACATCAAGTTGTTTATAATATATTTATTGTTGTTTATCAAGCTGATTAAAATACAGATCTATATTTGAGGTTTCTAGTGGGATACCCACAGTTCCGTGCACCTCATGCCAAACACTCACACCATCCGGAACGCGGGTTATATAACAACTCTTCCAGATCCTAATGTAGTAAAGACAAGTAAAACGAAAATTTGAACTATAAAATTCGAAGCGAAATAGGATCTGTGTTTTAGTCAGATTGGTTGTTTACAATACATAATTTAACTTAAAGTGGAAAAAAAAAATTTCCGAATGCAAATAATCGAAATAAAGATTAATAAAACCTCTCATTATGAGGAAAATCTACAAACGCTTGAACCGACATTATCATAATTCATCATAAGCCATAAGCACATTAACACTTTCTAGCTTTGAAAGTGTAAAATTAACTATCATACGTGAAGCCATTTTAAATAATACCATCTGATAAAAGCGATAACTAATCCCCTTGACGTTTGCATGTAATCACAATGTATAAAACCCACAATACACAGAAGTGACTATGTTATGCATTTACTGACAATATCACCGGGTTTTCCTCACATTTTAAGAGAAGCATTGGGATGGTGACAAGGTGAGCCATATTCGATATTCAGCGCTTCGCGGCATTCGGTTCTGGAGTTATATTCCCTTTGCCGAAAACATTGTTAATGCAATAGAGACGGTTTTTAATGAAAAATGAAAATGAACAAAAATGATGGACAAAATTAAATACAATAAACGACCAGGACAAAACATAGGAAATAAAATGAAATGGGGTTTAACGTCCTACTGTTCTGCTCCTTAACTGGGCTAATGAAGACGGGAATTCCAATAGGGTTTTTTCCTTTTAACTACGTGAGCGATTTCTGCATGTTTTAACATTTCTAAAATCTCGAAATTCTGACCTGTAGACTATTAAATTGAATGACCGAGAAGCGAATATACACTCAATTATACAGTTATATATCGACAATATTCTGTTCAATTTGATTTGTGTCGATCGCGATTCGTTTCCTTCACTATTTTCTGACGCTCTGCCCCTTTCAACATTTTGGCCCTCTCTTTCGCATATTCATTACAGAATTCATCTAATTGATATTTTTCTGTTGCTTCACTCGGTGACTTTCTCCAAGTTAAAACATGATCCGCCATAACTGGTGACCTTTTCTTCAATTCTATGTCCACTTCTTCGATGGTTGAGTTCGTGGTGTTGATAAAGTCCTTATCATAGAATGTAAATGGAAATTTCTTTAGTCGAAAATCCTAAAAACGGTAAAAGTTCCCTTAATTTGTTTTCTTTGTTCTGTAATAATTCATCATATAACAAAAAAAGCAAATCTCCTTTAAATTGAAGCCAATCAATATAACATGTCTTCCACTGGTCTGTTCCTTGGTGTTTTCTATAATCTGAAAAAGAAAATACCACCCGCTCTGAACATATAGGTGTCCGATATAGAGCTAAATCTGCCTTTTGCAGGTTATATAAATTTTCTGGCTTCAAAAGTTATATAATCAACTTTCCAGGCCATCGGGTGGCTTGGTTTTGAATGGATTAGAACCCTCTCGCCATTTAATAATTTAACCATTAAGTCTGGTAAAAATAATATCTAATTCCTTTTGTTAGATTCTGACATATTATAATCCACATGTATACTTACGTGTGCAGTAACGTTTTTTATCCGTTGTATTCGTGTGACTCTTGACTGTCACAAAATTAAAATAAGACCATTGAGCTTCAAATGGATTTCTCATTAACAGAACAGCACGTTCATAAGCTACCCTATCCCTTTTGGTTCCATGAGTTTTTATAACTATAACCGACCCATTAGTAACACCTTCCCCAACATAACCATTTTTGATAATAAACGGATCTCTATATATTGCTCCGGTATATATACCTGAAAATGATAGACAATGTTAGAATCTTTATACAGCCCCAATGTATACATACCTAAAACAGAGAGAGAGAGAGAAATGGGGTTTAATGTCCACTCGACACAAACTAGGTCATTTCGGGACTAACATATGGTTTAATTTTATTTCAATAATTCGCTTGCGCGTAGGGGTCTTTAGCAGTGGGAGGAAACCGGAGGACCCGGAGGAAACCCACGAGGTTGGACAGGCGACCCTACTCCTTGTCACGTACAACCGGGGATTCGAAACGACGCCAGTCGACTCAATGACAGTTTTTTATGATACAGCGCGCGCACGCTAACCATTCAGCCATCCAACCCCCCATACCTGAAACATATATGGTAATATTACTCTTCAAAAAATGTAGGGGATATTGAAATGTAAATACCTATGCAGGTTGTAATATGATAAATAGTCATCGACACTTGACATGTTTTGAGAGTATGTTCACAGATGAAGAACTTATCGCCCCAACAGAACCACTGAGCTGCGCGTGCGACATGCATTGACGCCTTACCCGTGGGAGGGGTTCATTGTCAAATTTGACACTTTAAGGAAGGGTTGATGAAAACCGCCGCGTGCTGGTTTATCCTATCCATGTTTACTTTCCTATCGGTTCTTGCATAAGATTTACTGTTTAGCGTATCCTTGCTTTAGTATGTTACGTTTGATTTGCAATGGGACGTCTTCAACATGATGAACGTCTACGTGCTATTGGCATGCTTCAAATGGGTTCTACACACGAGCAATAGCCAACATGCTTAATGTGTCACAGTATGTGATCAGCAGACTGTGGAACCGGTACCAACAAACACACAATGTTGATGATAGACTTCGTTCAGGTCGTCCTAGAGCCACTACACAAGCCCAGGATCGATACATTCGTACACAGGTACTGTGAAATCGAGGACAAACGGCCAATCAGCATTCTGTAAACTTGTACCAAGTTACAGGAATTCGAGTTACGCCCCAAACGATTAGAAATCGGCTACATGCAGGCCATTTGCATGCGCGACGACCGCGTGTTGTGCCTCCATGTTCTCAGATCCGAGTCTAGATTTACTCTGGATTTCACCGATAGGCGTGCTCGCGTTTGGAGGCCTTTCGGGCGTAGGTCTGTTATGGTGTGGGGAGGAATCGCCATGGCTGGGAGAACGGGCTTGCATATTGTTCAAGGAAGGGTCACTGGTGTGTCCTACCGTGACCACTTCCTGGCACCGATAGTTCTTCCCTTTGCTCAACGTGCAGGTCGACGTTTTTCAAGATGATAATGCCCGTGCCTACCGCGCCCGTGTCGTGCATGACTATCTCCAGCGTCACAATATTGTCCATATACCTTTCCCCTATAGAGCATGTCTGGGACATGATCGGGAGACGTGTTCGTCGACGTCAACGTCAACCGACAACACTGCAAGAATTGGCCGTGGCACTGCAAGAGGAGTGGGTCAGATTGCCCCAAATCGTGATTGGACGGTTGATTAGGAGCATGCCACGACGAATTGCCGAATTTCTGAGGATTGAAGCAAATACTCATTATTAATACAGAAATCAAAAACGTCCATTTTCACTTTTGACAGTGTATCTCTTTGCTAATGAAATTGGGCCGTCAGATAAGCCACCCATATGAACTGTTTATGTTCATGTGTAGGCAATTGGCCTGTTATTAACATACACTGGTTACCTCTAATAGTAACAGCAGTGCATTTCCGCAGTTTTGTATTGTTTCTGAATATCCCCCTACTTCTTTTGAAGAGTATATATTGATGGGAAGAGGTTATAGAACGGGATTGGTTCATTTCAGCACTCGGACCACCAAGAACTTTACAAGTAAACACTATGTTCCATAAAATCACTGGAAATGCATCATCAATGGACCCTGCTTATAGATCAAAGCAGGTATAACCTGTGGGGAGCCGAGTAGTAGATTCGATGAGTAAGTCATTGTTTCGCTAACCAGGCGGTCTCCTGTTCGCTCCTGGGTATTGGCCGAGTTAGTTCCTCGGAATATTCCGACGAGGTTTACCCTCGTCAGCGGCGTGGGCCACTATCCTGCAGTAGTAATATCAGCACTCAGCACTGTTAGCTGGACTTCACCACGGATTTTGATATCGCATAAATATTGTTTTCAGTTGTGGGGGGTTTTTTCCAGACAAACTCAGGAAAATCGCGTTCTTCTTAATGTGTTTACACGTCATCTTTATATTTTGGAGGCTATCGCTCCTTATTTGTGGATCTTTCACTTTATCTACCCGTCTAAAGAAAAACATTTGTATGACATCTATACTAATATTTGTGACTGTCGTTTGTCTGTCTGTCTGTCTGTCTGTTCGGGGTTGGCGGCTACACTAGGTCTGCCCCGAGTCTGAAATTTGGGGTATGGGGGTAGCTCGGACCGGTGAGTAACATAGGCCAGGTGGCGTTACTCTACCACTTCCGGTTATGGAGTTATGACCCCCGAGCGAAGCGATCTGTTCGGGGTTGGCGGCTACACTAGGTCTGCCCCGAGTCTGAAATTTGGGGTATAGGGGTAACTCGGACCCGGGAGTAACATAGGCCAGGTGGCGTTAGTCTACCACTTCCGGTTTGGGAGTTATGACCCCCGAGCGAAGTCTGTTCGGGGTTGGCGGCTACATCTTCCCCGAGTCTGAAATTTCAGGTATAGGGGTAGCTCGGACCGGGGAGTAACATAGGCTGGGTGGCGTTAGTCTACCACTTGCGGTTTCGGAGTTATGACCCCCGAGCGAAGCCGGTCTGTTCGGGGTTGGCTGCTACACTAGGTCTGTCCCGAGTCTGAAATTTGGGGTATAGGGGTAGCTCGGACCAGGGAGTAACATAGGCCAGGTGGCGTTAGTCTACCACTTCCGGTTTCGGAGTAATGACCCCCGAGCGAAGTCTGTCTGTTCGGGGTTGGCGGCTACACTAGGTCTACCCCGAGTCTGAAATTTGGGGTATAGGGGTAGCTCGGACCGAGGAGTAACATAGGCCAGGTGGCGTTAGTCTACCACTTGCGGTTTCGGAGTTATGACCCCCGAGCGAAGCCGGTCTGTTCGGGGTTGGCTGCTACACTAGGTCTGTCCCGAGTCTGAAATTTGGGGTATAGGGGTAGCTCGGACCAGGGAGTAACATAGGCCAGGTGGCGTTAGTCTACCACTTCCGGTTTCGGAGTAATGACCCCCGAGCGAAGTCTGTCTGTTCGGGGTTGGCGGCTACACTAGGTCTACCCCGAGTCTGAAATTTGGGGTATAGGGGTAGCTCGGACCGAGGAGTAACATAGGCCAGGTGGCGTTAGTCTACAACTTCCGGTTTCGGAGTTATGACCCCCGAGCGAAGCCGGTCTGTTCGGGGTTGGCGGCTACACTAGGTCTGCCCCGAGTCTGAAATGTGGGGTATAGGGGTAGCTCGGACCGGGGAGTAACATAGGCCAGGTGGCGTTAGTCTACCACTTCCGGTTTCGGAGTTATGACCCCCGAGCGAAGCCGGGTATCCTGCTAGTATTTATATAAAATTAAATCAACTTCTTGAAAACCTTATTAAATATTTTTCAAAACACCATTAACACAACAATTTCCTCAATTCGTTGGCCACTTCTTCGATGTTTGACTTTAGAGTATTGACATACTCCTTATCACAGAATAACATTATTTTAGAATAAAATAACACAAACAAATAATAAAATGAACAATAGAATAAGACAGAATAGTCATCCCCCTCCTAGGTTCAATACTAAATCAAGTCATAAAAGCCTCGAACTCACCCAATATAAACAAGCGCGGTTTTTATGAACGGTTGAACTAATACCTTGCTACATAATGAAATGTTCTGTTCAGTTACGTTTTTTCTCCACAATTTTATGATGTGCCTTTGTCTTCAAGTTCAGGATTTTGGCCCTCTCCTTCGCATATTCTTTACAGAATTCATCTAATTGATATTTTTCCATTGCCTCACTCGATGATTTTCTCCAAGTCAAAATATGATCGGCCATAACTGGCGACCTTTTCCTCAATTCTTTGGCCACTTCTTCAATGTTTGAGTTCATGGTGTTAATAAAGTCCTTATCATAGAATCTAAATGGAAATTTATCTACGCGATGTGCAATACCTTCCGGATCATATAGAGCACAATTTATATTTTTAGTCGAAAATCCTAAAAACGGTAAAAGTTCTCTTAATTTGTTTTCTTTGTTGTGTAGTAAATCGTCATAAAATAAAACAAACATATCTCCTTTAAATTGAAGCCAATTTATATAAAATTTCTTCCACGGATCTGTTCTATGGAGTATATCATAATCTGAAAGACAATATGTAACCTTCTCTGAACATGTGGGTGCCTGATAAAGATTATGATATGATATTAAAGATGTATCATGTAAGAGCTAAATCTGCTTAATGCCTTTCTTTTTCTGGCTTTAAATGGTATATAATCAACTCTCTAGGTCATCGGATGGCTTAGAGTTTGAATGGATTAGAACCACGTGCAATTTAATGATATAACCATAACAAGTATAATCGAGACTAAGTTTATTATAATAGCAATGACAATGGAGACTATGCTATTTTTATCAAAACTTCAAACACTCAAACCTTCGTCCAGAATAAAGTACTTTGACTAAAATGTTCAATATATTCAATTGTAATTTTTTTTTTTTTGAACTATTATAGCACAGACGATCAGTTTGTTACCTAATTCTTACATAATCCATCTGTAATTAAGACCATCAATATATATTGATTACCACAGAGAGAGAGAGAGAGGGAGAGAGAGAGAGATTATTTCATTTAGGACTTATAACCAGAGAACTTTAGCTTTTACACTATTCATAATTCATGAGAGATGGGGTTTAACGTCCGCTCGACACACAACTAAATCATATCGGGACTAACATATGGCTCAATTTTATTTCAATAATTCCCTTGCGCGTAGGGGTCTTTAGGGTCCCCCGGTTTCCTCCCACTGCTAAAGACCCCCACGCGTTAGCGAATTATTCAATTAAAATTGAACCATAATTTAGTCCCAAAATGACCTAGTTTGAGCCGAGTGGACTTTAAACTCTCTCTCGCGCGCTCTCTCTCCCTCTCTCCCTTCTATTCTTATTAATAACATCTGATACAAATAATATCTAATACTTTTTGTTAGATTCTGACATATAGTCCACGTGTATACTTACGTGTACAGTAACGTTTTTTATCCGTTATATTCGTGTGACTCTTTGACATCTTCAGATTGAACAAAGACCACTGGGCTTCAAATGGATTTCTCATTAACAGAACAGCACGTTGATAAGCTATCCTATCCTTTTTGGTTCCATGAGTTTTTATAACTATAACCGACCCATTAGTAACACCTTCTCCAACATAACCATTTTTGGTCATAAATCTCTCTCTAAATCGTGATCCGGTATATATACCTGAAAAATGTTAGACAATGTTAGGATCTTTATACAGTCCCCCTGTGTATATACCTGAAACATGCATATGTGGTAATATATTGATGGGAAGAGGTTATAGAACGTCATTTCAGCACTCGGTCCACCAAGAATTTTAGAGGTAAACATAATGTTCCTTAAGATCATTGGAAATGCATCATGAATGGTTCCGGCTTATATCAGAGGAGGCTCAGTGAGTAAAGCGCTGGCTCGCTAAGCAAGAGACTTTAAAACGTTTCTGAGGTGGTTTACGCTTGTCAACGGCGCGGGACACTATACCACAGTATGTCACTCAACAAGATTTGCAACAGAGCAGATCGGAAGCTGGTCGAATATGTCAGACTATCCCGGTTAACGTCACCACGGATTTTGATATCGCATAAATATTGTTTCGCGCTGTGTTCTTTTCATACTAAAACTCAGGAAAATGAGTTTATATAGCTCTGTGTCGCCTTCTAAAGGCACGTCATCTTTTTATTTTGGGTGCTCCGTTATGTTTATCTTCCCGTCTAAACAAATATATTTGCATGGAATATTTATATTAAATTAATTCAAATTCTTGAAAACATTAATAAACATATTTAAAAACTTATATTTGTTTATCTTTTCCATTAAGAATTTCCATATGACAAAAATTCCCTCATAACACACTGCAGGTTTGTTCAATTATTAGGAAAGGGTAAAACACCTGGGACGAATGAGTATTAAAATGAGTGGTTTAATATTAAAATCAGTGTAATACACACCTGTAGGTGTGGTTTAATATCAAAATCAGTGTAATACGCACCTGTAGGCGTGGTTTAATATTAAAATCAATGTAATACACACCTGTAGGTGTGGTTTAATATTAAAATCAGTGTAATACACACCTGTAGGTGTGGTTTAATATTAAAATCAGTGTAATACACACCTGTAGATTTTTGAAGTAAATGTCTTGTCCAACTATTACCTGAACCAGGGTAGCTAGCCAGAGCTGTCACAGGTAACGGTGTTTTGGCAAATCCTAGCTTAGGACAATTCTTAGGTTTTTGAATGATTTTGGAATATGTTACGTTTCTCAAATGTGTTTTATAAACACCAGAGACAAAATAAATAAGTAGAATCAGCCCAGCAATCGCTAATGTTCTGTTCCTGGATAAAGTCCTCAGGGTTGCCATTTGTAAGATATGTTGAATCATTGCTGAAATTAAAGCAAACCAGTTGAAGTTGTCTGTCTACGAACAAAACTGTGTGATTTGTTGATTTATTTAACCTAAAAACTGAATTGTCAGTCAAAAGTTTGCTTAAAACTACCCTAAGGAAGTCCATTCACCATAAGTAAATTCTTGGATTATGAATATCCTGTGCCAAATTCTTTTTTCGCCGTTTAAAAACAGAGTTTGCTGCACGTTTAACACAAACAACAAATTCAAAGCGCTCTGTGGGCTCTCCATGGGTGTTTTTCAGAGAATCCAGTGTCTCTATTTTCCATACTTTCTTGAAAATACGTCTATAAATACTTTCTTATAAATACGTCTTTAACCATTGAAGTAAGGGGTATATTCGAATAACCATGATTAATTCGGATCTTAAATTGCCGACTTCAAAGAAACTACGTGTATACGTGGCTTTGACCAGCGCTCTGAAACGAAATGAATTGGGTGTAACGTCCTACTTTTCTGCACGCTGGTTAAGTGAGTAAGACGCTGGCTTGCTAGGCTGGAAGTCGCGGGTTCGCTCCCGGTGTTGACCGAGAAAGTTCATTGGGATTTTTCCGGCGTGGTTTCCCCTTGACAAGGGCAGCTGTCTAGTCGTTCGGGTGGGACGAAATTCCGAGTTCCCGTGTACACATTGGCGTGCCCGTAAAAGATCCCTCGACAGTTGGAATTCGATATAAAAGTAGGCCTTAGCGCCGCTGTCCGGGCATAATTTCCCCTCATAGCACACCATATGGCGTATGCCATTCTTCATTAGCCAAGCCGGTACAGAACAGGACATTGAGCAATGTCCATACAATTTGCTATGAGGTACCTTTAACACGGACATCGGCGCTACGGCTTACTCTTATTGCGAATTCCTACTGTCAATGATTCTTTAACGTGCGCTCCAGCGTGTACATGGAACCGCCGTTTTTCGTTACATCAGGGCAACTAGACGCTGTTCACTGACAGGCCTTCCACCCTCCTCCACTAACAAGGGGAAAACCACGCTTGAAAAAGTCAGCTCTGTAACAATTATAATATTTAGGAAACGCGGGGGGGGGGGGGACGGCAACACTCCCTCGGAAGAGTAGGAGAGGCTGGGCAGGCCGGTAGATCGGTGTAGCTACTAGATCAAACGATCTACTTTAATAATAGATATATAAAAATCACAACACAATAACTGTACAAAACAAACTTAGGTTAAAAATGATAGGTATCATATATTTATCAAAAAAAGATGCATTTTGGACATAAAGAAATACCTTGTACCTTGTCTTCATTAGCACGGATGGAGGAGAAAAGGACGTTAAACCTCCTACCATTTGAATCCAAGCGTGCTTTAGATATTGATTTGCTGCTGATTCAATTAACGGGAATTCAAAAGCATTGTTTGTTATAAAATACTTACTTAAATATGTCAAATAATTGATGAGACGGTAACGCATGTTTGTTTTAGAATTGATTTTACGACAAAGTTGTCCGGGATTTTCCAGCGTGGTTTTCCCTTGTCAGATTTATTAACACGGCCTTTACGACTATAGAATGTCTTGGATTCGAATTCCTCTATAGACCGAGAAGAATCTTAAAGATTTAGGGAGTCGCGGTGCTTATTAACTCTTCTAAAAGATGGTATATTTTCACAGAATTGCATTGACACTGATAGACTACGCATTGACAACAGGATTTCAATAACACTTCTGAACGATACCTGGCTTCCAGTTGTTAGTAGTGATACCCGGTTACTAGTTATGAGTAGTGATACCTGGTTCCCAGTTGTTAGTAGTGGTGGCTGGTTCCCGGCTATGAGCAGTGCGTGATACCTGGTTCCCAGTTGTTACTAGTGATACTTGGTTTCCATTTGTTACTAATGATATTTGGTTCCCAGTTGTTACTAGTGATACTTGCTTCCCAGCTGTCAGTGGTGATACATGGTTCCCAGTTGTTACTAGTGATACTTGGTTCCCAGTTGTCAGTGCTGATGACTGGTTCCCAGTTGTTACTGGTGATACTTGGTCCCCAGTTGTTACTGGTGATGGCTGGTTCCCATTAGTTACTAGTGATACCTGGTTGCCAGTGATACTTGGTTTTCAGTTGTCAGTGATGATACCTGGTTCCCAGTTGTCAGTGATAATACCTTTTCCCCAACTGCCAAAAGATCTTTTACGTACACTCCAATGTTTTCACAGGACCTCGTTTTTTCATCCCATCCGAACGACTAGACAGCTGTCTTTGTCGGAAAATCGCGATGATATTGTCAGTAGTGAGTGACCCTTGGTTCCTTGTTGTTACTAGTGATACCCGATTGCCAGTTATGGATAGTGAATGATACCTGATTGCCAGTTATGGGTAGTGATACCTGTTGCCTTGTTGTTACTAGTGATATCTGGTTGACAGTTATGAGTAGTGATAACTGGTTCCCGATATGAGCAGTGATGGCTGGTACCTTGTTGTTACTAGTGATACCTGATTCCCAGTTATGAATAGTGATACCTCGTTCCCCGTTATGAGCAGTGATCCACAATTTCTGTTCTGGCTGAGCTGTCATTTTGGAAATGAAATCGGGTATAACGTCCACGTCCTACTGATCCGCACTGACTAGGCTAGCAAGGGGGGGGGGGCTAATGGTTAGCGTGCTCGCGCTGTATCATAAAGTCTGTCATTGAGTCGAATCCCCGGCTGTACGTGGCAAGGAGTAGGGTCGCCTGTCCAACCTCGTGGGTTTTCCCCGGGTCCCCCGGTTTCCTCCCACTGCTAAAGACCCCTATGCGCAAGCGAATTATGGAAATAAAATTAAACAAAAAAACCAAAAAAAACCTTATGTTAGTCCCGAAATGACCTAGTTTGTGTCGAGTGGACGTTAAACCCCATCTCTCTCTCTCTCTCTCTCTCTCTCTCTCTCTCCCTGACTAGGCTAATGAACGAATCCTCTTACATATTAGAATGGAATTAATGTACATGAAATCATCGATTTGCTAGACTGTTATCGTTTCAACAAATTTTGTATATTTAATTTTATGGGGGGGGGGGGGCCTAATGGTTAGCACGTGCGCACTGTATCATAACGTCTGTCAATTAGTCAACTGGCGTGGTTTCGATTCCCCGGTTGTACGTGACACGGAGTAGGGTCGCCTGTCCGACCTCGTAGGTTTTCTCCGAATCCCCCGGTTTCCTCTCACTGCTAAAGACCCCTGCACGCAAGCAAATTATTGAAATAAAAAAATGACCTGGTTTGTGTCGAGTGGACGTTAAACTCTCTCTTTCTCTCTCTCGTTTGATCCAGCAACTACAACGATCTACCGACCTATCCAGCCTCTCCTAATCTTCTAAGGGAATGTTGCCGCCCCCCCCCACCCTTGGTTCCTAAATATTAGAATTGTTACAGAGTTGACTTTTTCAAGCATGATTTTACCCTTGTTAGTGGAGGAGGGTGGAAGGCCTGGCAATGAACAGAGTCTAATTGGTATAGACGGGACCATTTATAGACAAAAGACAAATACACGTATTATCTTTTTATCAATTGGTGTTTGCACCTTACTGAGCACAATTTCTCATTTCTGCATTAAAAAGTAACAAAAAATGTTGACGATACCATAATGCCGACATTTTCAACACAAATAACACAATTCGGCCATATTTAATTCTGTCATGTAGCAGACTTACAATATTATATAATTATTCGATAGTGAAAGATTGACCAATACAGATTTCTATTTCGTTTCGTTTTTTTATACTTTCGATGGCCTACATTGCATGGAAGGTCGCGTCAGGGGTCGTACGAGCGGCTTTTGGCCCTATGACGTCAGACATTGATTAATCAATCAGTGTTGACGTTTCTAGTAGTTTACCCACAGTTCTGTGTATAGCACGTCAAGAATTCGCCGTAACTGACCCTTTCATTGACTAATTCCTTACCTGTAATATAACAACTCTTCCAGATTCTAGTGTAGTAAAGACGAGTAAAACGAAATTTTGAACTATAAAAAAAACGAAACGAAATAGGATCTGTGTTTTAATCAGATTGCTAAAATCTAACCTACAGCTAAACAATCAAATTATAATTACACATGTAGATTTAAAATTGTTTGATTTTACACTGCTTTGAAATACAAGCTACATTCAAGCGTCTTACCCACTCAGCCACCGCGATCCCCGAAACAAATGTGATATAATTATAATTCGAGATAATTTAGATAAATACATCTATCCAATGATCACCGGTATTCCATTCTTCCTATGATGTATCACATTTTAAAATATATTATATAGCACAATATGTTAATATAGAATACAAATACTGTACAATTAAAGCGACGTTTCGTTGGGAGTTTCCTCAAGGTTATGATTTGAAACAATACACAACGTCTTTTGTGTGAATATGTGTTTTATGTACCTGGTTATTGTCCCTGCTTGGTGTATAAATATAGACATTGGGTCAATAATTACAATGAAGCGCAAATCAATCTACGGGTATATCAATATCTTGGTTTTTGGTTATCCTGTCTGTAATTACATTACCAGAGGCAATAATTACCAGTACTGAAAGCAGTATCTCATATATAAAAGGGGAGGGGGGAAAAGAGAAATGGGGTTTAACGTCCACTCGACACAAACTAGGTCATTTCGGGACTAACATAGTGTTAAATTTTATTTCAACAATTCGCTTGCGCGTAGGGGTCTTTAACAGTTGGAGAAAAACGGAGGACCCGGAGAAAACCCACGAGGTTGGACAGGCGACCCTAGTCCTTGTCACGTACAACCAGGGAATCAAAACCACGCCGGTTGACTCAATGACAGACCTTATGATACAACGCGCACGCTTTAAACATTCGACCATCCAATCCCCCATACATTAAAGGAGCTAAACATCTAACCCAGAAGTATCCAGTTTTTATTCGAAATAAAAAAACAAGAATTAGAATTCAATATTGGTCCATTTCCATATCGATTTTGTTATCTTACGAGATAATAATATCCAATATTTACGACACAGTGAACACTTTATATTCAATACAGCATGTCGTGTATTCTATGTTTTCGAGTGGCATTCGTAATGAATGAAGAAAACATATCCCATAAGACTATGTGGAAGGGATTACAAAAAGGCTAGTTCATACACGACAAAATAATAATATAAAAAAAAGGTGTAGAGTGAACGTTCAATTTTGATAATTCGCGTATCTCATCGAACATAATGGATTAGAAATTTCAATAAAAAAAAATTCTTAAAAAACAATGTAAATCACTTTATTTACATTTATATAACTTGGCTATGTGCTTTTAGGTCCATTTTTGTCTATTTTAATGTTAAAAAATAGACCTATACGTCCTCTAAATACGTATTTAGATATTTCTTATGGCCAAGGCCATCTTATTACATTATCGGGCCATGACATTTTATTACATTACAGTCGAATCTACTATTAGGGATTTGTAATTAAGTTCCTGTTGCATTAGATGAGAATAGGGTTTTGTGTTAATTCGGAGAGGGGGGTGGGGCGGGTAGGGGGTTGGGGATGGCTTGTGATTGTACGGCCGCATTGCAAAAGATAACCCCGGTTTCTGATTGCTTCTGTGTCCCAAACTGTCGATTTGCCACTGTTTGTAAAGTTTGTAGATTTTCTCAAAGTTTTGAAGTGTCATATATGGAGATCTAAATCTGTCCCAACTCAATAAAGTGACAAACATACTTCTATTACTTGTATTAGTTTCAGCGTATTTTAATAATATGAAAGGTTTGTTGAGTGCGAGTCGATTGGTATACGTAGATCTATAAGTATAATCAATAAAAGAACTGGTATTAGTATTGATTTTGTAGATGTACATGTTTAATATATAACATATATACAGTTATACTTACTCAAATTAAACACAGCGGCGTGATATGGTACGCAATAAGACGATATGGTACGACACAATAGAGACTTTTGGCAAGCGGATTTTTCCCATCCGTATCCCGTATCCGTATCGTATACGTGATACGTTGCGTCAATGTAGTTTTAGAGTTTTGGCAGATTTTAGCAATTTTTGGTTTCACTAATGTATCATTTCAGAAAGTTTAGCCCGTAGATCAACCAGTATGCATACAGGCGGGAAAAATATATAAATTCCGAGAAAAACCCATCAAAAATAATGATTAAATTCCAGTCGTTATCACTGTTAAAATCACATCAAATATACACCTTCGTGTTCTAGGATACACATAGATTCATAAAAACGATATGATGCAACATTTCAGCGTCAAAAAGTAGCAAAAAAGACGGTAAAAAGACGACAGTGTTATACGGACCATTTCCGTATGAAAGCCGTTCCATACGTGCTGCCGTATCCGTGTGCTGTATCACGTATGAGAAATACACAGACATTGATGACGTCACACGCAAAATCCATACGGATACGCGATACGGACCAGGAAATTGCACTTGCCAAAAGTCTCTAATATGACACAATAGGGAAGGATACGGATGGGACGGTACGGGACGGGAACAATCTGGTCCAAATACAGATCTAAATTTCCTTTGTTTTTTTTAAACTTTCGATGGCCTACACTACATGAAGATCTGACCGGTTGTAGTGGAAGGTGGCGTCAGAGGTCATACGAGCGATTTTGACCCCATGACGTCAGACATTTGATTAAATAATCAGTGCTGCTGTTTCTGGCGGTTTACCCACAGTTCGGTACACCTCACGCCAAAAACTTGCCATAACAGACCGTTTCATTGGCTAATCCCTCACATCATCCAGAACGCGGGTTATATAACAACTCTTCCTTATCCTATAAAAAACGAAAAGAAATAGGATCTGTGTCTTAATCAGATTGGGACGAGAAGGGACAGGAGAGGGGTGCGATATGATTCGGTATATCAGTTTTATGCAGGGTCATTGTTTTACGAAAGGTGGATCAGACGGACAGGCTGAGGGGGTCGAACAATCGAGCTCAAATAGTCCCCTGCTATCTCAGAACGGATAGAGGCAAATATTAGAGGTACCATACAGGCAATATCTCACAGCTGCCTAGTACACTCTTAAAGAAATGAAATGAAATGAAATGAAATGGAGTTTAACGTCCTACTGTTCTGCTCCTAACCTGGGCTAATGAAGACGGGCTATGAGGGAAATTTTGCCCGGACAGCGGCACTACGGCCTACTCTTATATCGAATTCCAACTGCCAAGGGATCTTTTACGTGCACGCCAATGTGTACACGGGACCTCGGTTTTTCGTCCCATCCGAACGACTAGACAGCTTTCCTTGTCAGCCCCTCCGCACTCTTAAAGAAATGAAAGGAAACGAAATGAAATGAAATGAGATGAGGTTTAACGTCCTACTGTTCTGCTCGGAACAGGGCTAATGAAGATGGGCATACACCATACAGTGTGCTATAATGAAAGGTTAGACAAAGAGTTGATCCTTTTCGCAATAATAGTTAACAAATAGATAATGAAAACAAAATATGCTAAAAATTTCAATAAGATTACTTTACTCTGAACCGAGATATTAGCGATTCAATTTTGGGCTAGCCTCGATCCTCATTACTAATGTTGGTATAATAATAAACAAAGTCTCGATTATCCATTTTTACGTTAATTTATCCATCACAAAATGTATTCAAATCCACTAAATATCCTAGACTAACAATGGCATCGAGAGTTGATTATGGTCCGGATAAGTTAATTATTGTCTAATTAATAGTTTATATAACATTTCAGGCCTAAAGAAAGGCCTGCAATAGGCAGATTTAGCTCGTGCATAATGCATCTTTAAACTAAAAATTCACAGGACACAATTCTATGGAATACAGTTGTAGTTAAAGGAGCTAAATCTATATTCTTTGGTGCTTAGAAATGGACAAAAATGGGTCGCAACGCATTTAATAATGTAATATGAATGTATATAAAACAAATGACGCTCGAAAGCCTTCTGGCACGCGAGTCGTGTGCCAATTTTCAATTTTGTCTTAAATATTGGATACCAGAAGCCCATCTATTCACGGTAAGATAAAAACATTAATGTTGATTTAAGAAGTCGTGTTTGCAATGTCGAAGACTGTGGATATAATGGGTTATAGACGTGCCTCCTTTAATTACAAATCGTCAAGACTTCTTTAGTATATATATGCATTGAGTAAATATTTCTTTTTATTAAAAGCTCACGCTCCAGTTAATCTCAAAGGTATATACACGTTAATTTGGGTGCAGCAAAAAACATATAACTGTGAGCGCATTGACGAGTTAAAATAGATAATAGTAACTGGTAAGGTGGCAGTCAAAGTGCTACATAAAGGATCCGCCCTTGGTTCAAATTGTAAAGGAATGTATCGCCAATAGATTCAATACAAATAGAGGGTATAGAAATTATTCATAGTCAATTTGTTGTTGAACTGAGCATTAATATACAACATGTCTTGATATTTAACACGTAATCTGTAAAATGTCTTACGATGGGTCGACGAGGGACGTACCACAACAGATTTATTTGGCTCATCATCTGTTTATTATTGTTATTGACTGGAATTTTAAAACTCAATCATAGACCTAAAGATGAAAAACTGTTCGTACATGTTAACAATCAGAGGGTGTGTCCATTGAAGCTCAGATTTAGTAACTTATCATTAACAGTGACAGCTTTAGCCAGTTTTCCTGGATCGGGGAATTCTTGGTTGCGTCACAGATTGCAACAAGCAACGGGTAAGTGCAAAGAGAGGAAGAATGAGGGCAGAGGGGGGTAACACAAATTTGGTCAATTCGGGACTATCATATAGTTCATTAATTAGCTTTAGGTCTTTAGCTGTGGGAGGACCTTGGGAAAACTCACGAGGTTGGACGGACGGTCATCAGGTCAATTCGGGACTATCATATGGTTCATTAATTAGCTTTAGGTCTTTAGCTGTGGGAGGACCCTGGGAAAACTCACGAGGTTGGACGGACGGTCATCAGGTCTAAATATTAAGACCACCTGCACCTTTCGTCAAGGTCACGAGATGTAATTAAGGTTAGGTCACGTTATTGTTGACGAGATTTAGGGCTAGGGGTAAGCTTATCGCGTGACCTTGACGAAATCTGCAGGCGACCTTAATATTTAGACCTAACTGCGGGCGATCTTACTTCTTGGGCTAGATCACCCAATCGGCCGTGGTAAGTACAAAAACTTTAGCGGAAATTTGTTAGCGGTATTAACATATACAGTGTAGTACTGTCGATCCTAACCAGGCGCGGATTGGGGCGGAAGCACGACAACAAGTAAGCGCCCCCGTGAGACAAAGTCCCCTCAGACCCAGTCCCAAGTTACATATTATCTGAAACCTCAGTTACATAAATATTATACGTAGCTGTCTGCTCGATTCCATTATATCGTCATTCTTCCATCCCCCAGACCACCCCACCCTCGCCTTCAGGTTGCTCAGTGTTATATAGTCACTTCTCTGAGGTTGACAAAAATCAATAACAATGATAATATGACATGAAGTTTATGTAAACTTGAATAAAACTGCTTTTAGGCGATATAAGATCGCCGAACAACTATATAAGCAATACGATCTATGTTCTACCTGGGCGCTCAGACATTGTTATAGCCAGTATTTTATGGACATTCATTGTGGATTGGGATTGTGGAACCGCCCTCTCCCCTATTCACAGCTGCTAGATCCGCTACTGACCCCAACTCATCCAAAAATACAATTAGTAATAGGGTGACCCACCATAAATAAATATCTCCATATATCTCGACAATTACGCCACAATACTTATATATATGCCAAGCCTCAAATCAGTTCCACACAATTATAGTCACTAAATAAACGATCATGTTGTACTTAATAAGCTATGGCCATTAATCACGTATAAATAATAGACTGAAAACTGGTTCCAAGAGTCGTCCATAACATCCAGACACTTTTGAGTAAAAGATAGGTTACGTGCCCTTGTTTTGAAATTAGTCTCGCTTAACCAGTCTATCGACCATTCTACGTCTGATTGACAGGTCGGGATAATCAAGACTACTTTTTTACGAAACATAACAGAAAGCTAGAACAAGAAATTGAATTTAGAAATAAGCACGTTAGGTAGCTCAACAATCGTTTTAAGAAGCTTGTAAAAGTAAAATGAAACTACTGCTAGTATCATGTTCTTGCCTAACCTGAGTGTTTCAGAGATATTATTTGTACTAAACCAAAAGATGCCGCTCTTAACGGTACAGTTAATGATAAAGCGATTTAAAAAATGAAACGAACGTAATTTCTAAATCTGCTGTAATAACCAAGAAGCTTAATTTTACTGCTATTCAAAATCGTCAACAATAAATTTTTTACGGCTGTAATAGTTGATAAATTTGTAGAGAATTGCATGTGCCATGGCTATTTATAGTATCATACTGTCAGAAAGTTGGTCTCGGCACGGCGAATGTGCACGCTTCAGTGGTAGTCTCGAACTATCAGCGGTGGACTGTATTTCTGTGAGTACATGGGCCACCCTAACATTGTCAATTAGATATCATGGTATAATACATAGCCAAGGCGTGGCCAAAGCAACATCAATATAACAGGCCAATCGGAAAGGCGTATGGGCGAGGCCTATTAATCACCAACGAGAACCAATATAATGGAGATGTGGTTTACAGACTCATCTAATTACCCCTGCATTCAAAATTGATTCATTCAATATGGTTACATATACTTCATAGTGCAAGTAGTTTTCATTTTGAAATATCTCCATTAATATTTATCCCATCGTAACCATTTTTCGTACCAATTATCTATAGTCTTCGATTTGCGCACCATTTTTAACGACCTGCCACAGTTGTTTGTCCAATCAGAATACTTAGACACACTTTGATTGACAGTCTTACATGCAGGAAATGAATACGAGATTAATTTCATTGCAGGTATTTACACGGGTTCTGTGGACGATGAGAAATTTATGATAGACAATGGATATCTAGGAGAAGGAATTACCGGCGGATCGGTCCTTGTTGTCAAGACTCACCACAGATATGATGATCAAAGAGGAATAGATGGGCACTACAAGAAAGCTATTCTTCTTTTAAGAAATCCATACGATGCCATTTTATCATGGTTTCAGCTTGCTCTAACAGATAACCACACGGCCACTGTTTCTCCACAAAAATTCTGTTCGGGTAGGAAAATATATACATGATCTTTCATAATGGTAAAGATTAAAAGCTTCCACACGGGGTGTGAGTTTTAGTTTTTCGGAAACTATTTCTCATTTTTTGTGCTATGATTTTTAGAAGGGTATATGTGGACAATATTTTGAGAGAAGTTTGTATCTTATGTTTGATTTTGAAGTCAAGGAATCGGAAGAAATTAAGTGCAGGCCTCTCCTTGACCCTCTTTATCTGCCAGATCACGATGACGCATTTCTTCTCGAATACGAAAATATTATCTATAAAAACATGTGAGCTTCGGAAAAAGGTGAGATGTGATTAAGCAGGGGTTGGACCCACAAGAAGCGAGTGGTATCGGAGGACCCATTAAAGAGGTTAATGTTCCCATGTAGAGTTGGTTGAGGAGGGGGAGGGGTTATTTAGTCTTGAATTTACGTAGTTTTTGATAAATTGATAAGCAAAGTAGTCTCTGGTAGGTTGCGTTCTTAGGTTATTCTCTAGAAATGAAATGAAATGAAGTGAGGTTTAACGTCCTACTGTTCTGCTCCGACGGGGCTAATGAAGTAGGTCATACAGTGTTATATAGGAAAATTGTGCCCGGACAGCGGCGCTACGACCTACTCTTACATTGAATTCCAACTGCCAATATGTACACGGGACCTCGGTTTTTCGTCCCATCCGAAGTTACACTCTAGAAAGCACCATTTGCACTTAGTTTTTCAAATGCTTTCCCAAATCCGCGGTGTGATGGGCACCTATAGTGGAGACCTTCACGTTGTCAAGCCCAAGAGCATCCGATCCCAACTCCGTCTCTGATGTAAGCATATTCATGGATTGTGCTCGAGGCCCGCCACTAATATGGCTATACAGCTAATTGTGGGGACAGTTTGCGAATTTTATTATATTTCTTGTATTTTACAGCGTGGCCAAAGAACATCTCAAATCTGATTAGAATATGGATTCGTTTTGTAGAATCTTGGTTGAAGTTCCCTGGACCATTACACTTGGTGTTTTACGACGGCCTGAAGACAAATCCAGTAGAAACTCTTCGTGATTTATTGTTGTTTTTAGATCAACCAACCTCGACATTAAAATGTGGGTTAATAAACGACGAAGGCGTTGCTCACAGAAAACTGCAAGTACCTGTTGATGGCTTGTACAGCAAAAATATTATTTCAAAACTAAATAGTCACATTTACGATGTTTATCTGGCCATAAAGGACCTAAATGTGAAAAACAAAGCTTTAGTGTTTTCGTGGGTGAAATACTATAAAGGTTACGTGACACCGTGGTATCAATCGCATTGTGAAGTTTTAAATATCACATCAAATGAACGAAGAAATTCGGCGGAAGACAAAATAACATATATAAATGACGTAGTTTTTAAATATTAGGGTAGTTTTATTGGCAGCTTTCACAAAGGCGAAATTTAACTTTATAAAAACAAATGTGAAAACGCCGTTAGAATGTGGCACACAGCTAAAACGCATGATACATAGGTGGTACATGTAACTGCAATTTTAATGATGATGGTAATGTAACTACGGGATAATTAAATAAAGAAAATCTTTGTTGGGTATCGTTCTAAAAAAAAGAGTAGCTGTCCTTAATATTGATTTAGATATTGAAGAGTTTGATTATTGTGAAGTGGTATTTTATTGTAGCAATATAGGCTATTGACTCATTAACCCGGTTCGGTCCTGGTGTTGCCTGAGAAAGTTCTTCAGAAATTTCCATCGTGGTTGCCCCTTTCCAGGGACTTAATGTAGAGTTTTGTCTGTGTATACGTGTTGACGTGTGCGTAAAACAACCCTTCACAGTTGGAATTCGAGGAAAATGCAGGCGTAACCGCCTCTATCCATGGAAAATGTAGGCGTAAACGCCTCTATCCGTGGGAAATGTAGGCGTAAACGACTCTATCCGTGGAAAATGTCAAAGCCCACAGTATGGCGTTTGTCCATCTTCATCATCCAGAATGGTTCAGAACCGTAGGACATCAAACCATCGGCGTACGGGCTCGATGACTGTCAGGGGTGGGGGGCAGAACCCGGTATGCCCGAATCATTTCGGGTTACAGACGGCAGAGCCAGACAGACGTCTGCGAGAGACGAATGAGCAACCTTACCAAGTTTATGTAATGCATTTGTTTATGGTTAAGGTTATTGTCGGTAGTTCGTAACGTCAGTCTTCGGGTATTTCTAGTTAGTAAATTTGACAAATTCAAATTACTTACGATTTACAAACAAAAATGCGACACTGTAAACCAACCTAGCCTAAGTATCTTGATGGATTTCACAATCTTGTCCACCAAACTTTCCTACCCATCCTCTGTTAATTGTATAAGTATGCCTATTCGACGCTAACTAAGAGGAAGGGGATACCCCAAACGCTATCTACAATGTATAAAAAACAACACTCTAGCTGAACTTGCCGCCAAAGAAACAAATAATATGCAATCAGCAGTAAAAACCGAAACTTGTGGCCATCCAAGATGTCAAACATGCAAAATATTAAACATATCCGACCATTTCCATAACAAAACATCTGGCACACAATTCCCAATATTTAGACCAACTTTCATGCAGTAGTTCAAACATAATTTATCTAATTTCATGCAGACAATGTGACAAGCAATACGTAGGGGAGACTCAAAATGCACTTAGGGAAAGAATTAACGGTCACCGATCAGACAATTCATACGGCTAGCGCAATAGCCCCTTTTGTAGTTCCATTTAGCGCAACAGCATCCAAACTCATCAGAAAACACTACAGGCTGATCTCCAAGAAAATCACCCGAAAATATTCACACAGAAACTTATAATTGCATATTCTAAAAATAAAAATCTGAACGACATCCTAGTGCACAGTAAATTAGATTAAATAAGACCAGTCTCCACCCTGACCCAAAACAAACCATATATCAAATCCTATGCCTAACCGTTAGTAATTAAAATCAATTAGATATAAGAATCCCTAGCCGTAACCCGGTGATGTGGAACAAACACGATTTTTTTATAAAATCCAATCCGTTGTAGGAAACACACTAATGTGGCTCTCTCCCGAGAGCCTCAAATTTATTTTCTTTTCTCTTCAGAAACAACAATACCAGAATACCAGAAGCACCACCCAAGGAAGACCATCAGCGCCACCAACACCAATAAACAGTGAAATCGCCTTTGTATATAAATCTAATGTATTGTATGTATTTTAATAAAACTAGGAAATATCACGAACTAATTTTTCATCATCCTAGGTCAGTGCTTATGTGGAGACTTAACCTCTCCCCCCAAATTCTTAAACCTAGCCACGAACCTCCGGAAACCATATCCCTAACTAGGATAAAAGTAAAAGAGATGAAAAACAGAAATGAAAAGATGAATGAAAATAGTAGTCAGATCAACCAACAGCGCCCAAATTTCCTACTTAACATCGCCACTACTTGTGCATATTATTACAATAAAATATATTTATTTTTCTTGTTCTTATCTTTACGCCTTTACTTTCATCATGAAATTTTAAGTATTGCAAGTACATACTTGCTTGCACGTTTGTTTTGTGGCCTAGGGGAAATAACTCCATTTAAGACACCCGTCAAATATTTTGTTAAATCATCAAATAACCACTCTTTCTTGAAATTATATGAAATATTCACAACAGTAATTAGATGAATATAGGTGCTAATTAATAATTTGTTGTAAAATCAAAATTATCGAAAATAACCTACTGCTGCGGACCGAGCGTATTATATCACATTGACTTCCGGTAATAATGCGCATGTTGATTTAATGGTCGCATGTGTGTTGTGGCAATAAACTTCGCCGGTTTTCTTGTTGAAAATAACAGTTTGATTCAATATCAATTATCCCAATATGGAAGAAGATTCTAGCATCGACGATTTCTTTGCCAAAAAGGACAAAAATAAAAAGAAATCTAAATCAAAAATGACTACAACTACGAGTGAATTATTGTCACAAATGGATGAAAGACACGCAAGAAAGCAGAGGCAAAAAAGAGAAAAGGAAACCGAGAATCAAGCTGGTTTGACAGATCGGGCATCAAAAGACATTATCGGCGACAAATTAAAGGTTGATACACATAACATGAATGTCATTATTTTAGCCATAGGAATCAATATTCATTTTTATGAGGTTTTATCATTCACCACATTGAATGATTGAATATGATTTAATATGAATTACAAAACGAAATTTAAACGTGAATGAGCATAATTTTTATATCAATATGGATATTGAATTTTTTTGCATATTTGTATCACAGGCAGTAGTCACCCTCACCACACTAATTTATAATTTAGGCTAAGTAATTTCCCACATAGCGCTCAGCTCTGTATGACATATGTCCATCTTCATTAGCCCAGTTGGAGCGGAACAGCTGGACGTTACTGTTAAACCCCATTTCATTTCATTTATTTCAATTTGATAGCAAATTTTGATTTGGTCACAAGTGAATATTAAACCCCATTTCATTTCATTTATTTCAATTTGATAGCAAATTTTTATTCGGTCACAAGTGAATGTTGATGTGAAGTCAGAGTCCCAGCTTGAGAAATCCTGATTGTTGACCAAGTACGGTACTTGTATGGTCTAACATGGACTCTTTAAATCATATGATTAATCAGTGAGACAAGTGGAGTGGTTTCGATCTGAAGCTTTACATGAAAAGGAGTAGGGTCACCTACCAAACCTTGTGGGTTTTCCTCAAACTTCTTTATAGACCCCTACGCGCAAGTGAATTATTGAAATGAAATTGTAACATACATGTATGTTAGTGTTGAGTCGATGATTAGCCCTCTTTCTCTCCATCTCTCTGTATATTACTATTCGGCTTTAACAGTAAATTGTATTATGTAATTATAGGAAACGGAAGACTGGCAGGATTTTGAAGAAGAACAGGAAAAAGATTATTCTGGTTTGAGGATACAAAGTTTACAAATATCGTAAGTGAAGTGAATTATAGAAAATTTGGTTAATTAGGGTTTCACACTGCGAAGCTTGTGTGAAACACTATTGTTTTTGTTAAAATTATTATTCTTATTATTATTATTCTTCTTTTGTTTTGAGTAGATCTCAGCAACTACTTGTCGCATCGTTACGATTTCTTCGGTTTTACTGGGAAAGTGGGTGTGACTTAGAGGATAAAGCTATTTTGAACGTTCTGCGACAATGCGAAATGTCCGAAATCACCGAAGCTATCGTTTTTAGAAATATTGCAGTAATTTTAACAATAATCATTGGATTTTAACTTTCGATGCATTTTGGCATAGCCGGAGACGGGGCACATAGCTACGCTACTTTTGATTTTTGATTTTCGGCAAATCTTCGCAGATATTAGGCGCTAAATTTAGAAAATTTAAATTTTTACAAAAAACTTTTTTATTTATGAATATTTTTTAATCGTGTTTTACACAAATATAACGAGTCCTCTGACTTGGGCAAAAATGTGAAAATTTTTTGTCTCGGTAATTTTCCTTGGCCCCCATTGGCTAATTCAGTTTTTCAGTCCTAGATTAATTATTTATTGTTCGATTTGTATAAAACAAAGTTCATATGCCCCGTTGTCTCAATTGTCATTTTTTTTGTTACCAATAGTGTTATCTGTCGGCACCGGAAGTGGCGTAAATTGACAAAAAACTACAATTTTGACAGTTAGGTACCATTTTTCGAAAGCAAATATTATTTTTTTCAAATCTGGTATAACTGAAATTGTGCGCCCTTTAAAGGCGCACAAAATGTTGGGACCATTTTTTTTAATTTCGATTCCGTTTTCGGGCTATTTCGATTAAAAGGTGAAAAAAGGTGTAAAATTAAGCTATTTACAACCCATCCAGCGTTTTCATATTTTAAAATATTACTTCGTAACTTTCATAAACTCGTAGCAATAATCTATACGGAGAGAATGTATGTGAAAATTAATTTGTAATATACGCAGTTGCCGAGAAATGGGCAATTTTGCATGAGTCACTTTTTACGCTAGTTTGCCTGTAAAAGAGTCAATTATTATTCGATTTTCATAAAAGTGACACCATTTGATGTGTAATGTCAATTTTAACTAGGTCAAACCAATTTAACATTTTCAATATCACCGGAAATGACGTAATTTGGGCAAAAATTGTATTTATAGCCTTCGAAACCAGTAATTTATTCAAATGAGTCATATTTGTTATTTGTTTAAAATTTTGATATTTGATTCAAATCAACTAATACAATGAACCCTTACGATCATATAGATATCACAAAATGGTTTCTAACTTGTTCAGTTGCGGAGAAATAGGCAATTTTCAACAGGTCACTTTTTAAGGTTTTTTTGTAAATAAAAGTGTCAATTATTATTCGATTTTCATGAAATTTTCACTGTGTGATACATAATGCCATTTACGATATCATACAAGTAATTTAAGATTTTCATTATCACCGGAAGTAACGTCATTTTGGCAAAAACTGTATTTTTAGCCTTCAAAACAGATATTTTATTCAAATGAATCAGATTTGTAATGTTTTTAAAATTATGATATTTGATTCCAATCAACAAATAGAATGAACTCATTCGATCATACAGATACCTCAAAATGGTTTCTAACTTGTACGGTTGCAGAGAAATAGGCGATTTTCTACAAGTCATTTTTCAAGGTTTTTGGTCTATAAAGGTGGCAATTATTATAGGATTTACATAAAATTTTCAACATGTGATGATGCTATTTCTGATTTCATAAACCAATTTAACATTTTCATTATCACCGGAAGTAATGTAATTTTGACAGGATCACTGACATGTAGCAAATGAATTGATTGCTGGATTTGGTTGTTTCTGCGTCCATTTTATTTCATGTGTGCAATGCTTATGTGGAAACCTGTTTAACGGTTTCATTGGTACCGGAAGTGACATAAGTTCAAGGGTAACGTGGCACCGGTGAAACCCGTCATTACTGCTTCGCAGTTCTAGTTTAAATTTACTTTTGTTAAACATACTTTATGCAAGAGCTAAATCTGCCTATTGCAGGCCTTTCTTTAGGCCTCAAATGTTATCCAAATTATTAATTAGACATTAATTAAACATGCATTATGCAAGAGCTAAATCTGCCTATTGCAGGTCTTTCTTTAGGCCTGAAATGTTTTCTAAAGTATTAATTAGACATTAATTAACTGATCCAGGCCTTAATCAACTCTCGATGGCATCAGATTTCTCCGATATTAAATAGATTAGAATGGTTCAGAGATACTTTGATTTAATCAAATATGGAGGACCGAGACTTAGCTTCGATCAACCAGTACGGTGGTTGAAATTATTGTACACGTCTGTCAAACCTTCAACGGCTAATATCTTCGCTTGCAATCGAGTAATTTGAATGAAATTTTCAAATTATTCATTTTACATCATCTACTTCCGAACTATTATAGCAAGAATGGCTAGTTCTTTATCTAAATCTTACATAATGTATCTTTAACTTATCTAGACCATAATCAACTCTCGATGTCATCTCTAGGCTGCAATATTTACTGGATTAGGATTTGATTTGCTTCTCAACTTTCATTCATGATTTAATCATGAAATGGATAATCAAGACTATGTTTTTTTTATCATACTGAGTTCAGTAATTATGATCAAAGCTAGGCCGAAAATTCAGTCGCTAAATTCTCGGTTCAGAGTGGATCAATTTGACTGAAATTTTCAGCAAGTTCCCTTTACATTATCTAGTTTTTAACTATTATAGTGATAACTGCCAGCTCTTTATCTAATCTCCCATAATGTATCTTTAATACTTTTAATTGACTTCTGTTTACTAGACGTGATCCAAATGAAGAAAAAGATGAGGAGGAACAAGAAGTGTCTCAAGAAGAAGAAAATGACAGTTCTGCAAAATGCACTCGTGATTTAACGCAAGGTCCCTGGAAACAAGGCGCAGCTCCCTCAGCGCCAGCACCAGGTAACCGTATATTTAATCACTGTCTTAAGAGGCAAGGTGTTATTGAGAATATCTCTGAAGTTGTCTACATGTATACATGTACACATGTATATGTTTCCAAAGATACGTCACTACCTCTGGCCTGTGAAAGTTGGGAAAACATGTGTAATACGTATGCAATCTATGTGGTAGAAACATACCTGATAAAATTTATCTATAATGTTCCCTCTTATCGCATCGTAAAATTACAGCCACGGAGATGTATTTTTTTTGGCCTTGATCTAGTATTGATTTTTTTATTTTAAAAATCAGATAACTTCAGTTATGATACCAAAGTTTTTGGGACTGTGATGTATTTATGAATATCAGAACCATTTTGGAATTAAAATCTGAGTTAGAAATTATATTTTTCTAAGACAGATGTGGGTGTGGAATTAATAGAAACCAGTGTAAACTTTAAATGACCAGAATTATTTTTGGATTGTGGATGAACTTAAGTTCTGTATCTAACCTTTGAATAGTTTAATTATAAACATATTTTATTACTTTAAAGTAAATGGTAATCATATTTGATAAGCAAATGGATTGGACAAAAGTTACTAAAACTTATGGGGGGTTGGATAGCCGAATGGTTAGCATGTGCGCACTGTATCATAAGGTCTGTCATTAGTCAACTGGCATGGGTTTGATTCCCTGGTTGTATGTGACAAGGAATAGGGTCGTCGTGGATTTTCTCTGGGCCCTCCGGTTTCCTGCCACTGCTAGAGGCCCCTACGTGCAAGCGAATTATTGAAATAGAATTGAACCATGTGTTAGTCTCGAAATGATCTAGATTGTGTGTGTGTGTGTCTCTCTCTCTCTCTATCTCAAACTTACAAGGAGTCCTCTCCAATAAAATATAATTGTCGTTGGTGGTCAGTGAAACAAGGTCAATTGATGTACGTACATGCAGGGGCGGATTGGGGCCGGGAAACAGCCCGGGCTCCCGTGTCGGATCGGCCCCTTTTACTGACCGCGGAGACCGGATGGGGGTTCCGGGGGCTCTCCCCCATTAAAATTTTGAAAAATGAACCCTAAATATGCGATTTGGTGGAATATCTGATTATAATCTCTGTCAAATAATATATCTCATAAATCGATTAATTTAGGCCAAAACCCTGACCTGCAAGTAATTTACAACCATCAACCTGTGAAATTATCATATTATTAATTAACGTATTATCATTGTATCGTCAAGACCAGCTATCATCAAATTTTGCCGAGGCCTTAAAATTGAATTTTTTTTTTGAGTTACGAACCATCGGCAGACGTTTCTGGCGACAGTGTCGGGTGAATCCGATGAAATTTAAGGATGAAATTCGGAATCTCCATTGCAGGATTCCGAATTCCGGCCCACACCCAGCAGACCCGGCCCAGAAAGTCTATTATACCAGCCCAATCCAGAATCCATACATGGTCATCATCGCTCCATGGCCGGTCCAATACACACACACCCACACACACACACCCCACCATATAATGTTCAGCAGAAAAGGTTTTTTTAGACGAATTGGACAAAATTATTTTTTTTCATTTTTTGTCTGACCGGCCCTTCGAGCTATCGCCCAATGGCCCAATCCGCCCCTGCGTACATGTCAGATCCTAACAAACAATAAATTAACAAAACAAACATATTTACACAAGATCAGTGTATTTGAAATATCTAACCTTTAATTTAGTATTATACCAGGGCTTTAATGAAATCTAAGCACAAAATGCATGTTTTTTTAAAAATGAATGAGCAGCATAAATTGGTTATTTCAGTTGTGGCTGCTCCAGAACCAGAAAAACCCAAGGAAGATGCCCCTAAAACTGTAGGAAAATATGTCCCTCCTAGTATGAGAGGTAGTGCTGGTAGTTCTAGCTCAACCCCTGCTTCTGGCCCACGTGTTAGAATGGGTAAAAAAAATGCTCCAAATATATCAAGTGAAATGGACTTTCCGTCTCTGGGTGGAAGCAAAGCACCGGCTGTACAAGAAACGTAAGTTGACGTAACAGTATGATATATACTTTACTTCTTAAAATATAAAGCTTAAGCTGTGGTGGTGCAGTGAGCAGACAGTGGCTCGTATACCTGGTGGTGCAGCAACAACATCTAGTTGTTTGGATGGGGTGAAAAAAAACAAAAAACCCACAGCCAACTCCATAAGTTATTGTCCATGTTCTTATTTATAACTTGGTAACACAATAAAAGACCAAATATTTCTAAAACTGCAAGAAGTAAAAACCATTATGATTTGATGCTAACACTGCTCCGAATCATTCAGTTGTGTTGTTTTAGCAGCAGGAGTTTCTGTATTTAATGTTTAGTTTCAAACCATTGTTGGGAAAACTGATCAAATCCATTGATTGAGTTATTACTGTTGTGTAGTTCAAAGGGTCTTTCTAAATAAATATAACTTTTTAGTTTCTCCAAAGGTGTTGAGTAATTAACAGACTAATTAATTACTCAACACTGCTCTAAAACTCCTGCTAAAACAACACAACTACACGATACACAAGTTGTAATGTTAGTATCTTGTGGTCATTTTGTGCTTTTTATTTTATCAAAGTATCACTACAGGGCTAAATGAATTCCCACGTCAAATTTCGAGGCACTATATGTACCTTATGTTGTTTATAGGAATCTATGATTATCTTGTGTCATTCATGATTACCATTAACATTTATGGTATCAGTGTTGCGTAGATGCGTACACTTAAAATTTTTGCTGAGGGAAAATATTTACATGAGGTAATTAATGACATTGTGTTTATTCTTTATTTGTTGCAAAAATAACAGGTCATGCAGCCCTTTTAAATGATGCAGGATTATCTGATACAGATTATTTTTTTGTATGGCCTTAAACATACATTATGCAAGAGCTAAAGCAACCTATTGCAGGTCTTTCTTTAGGCCTGAAATATTATTTATATTATTAGATTTTTTTAAAACTTATCCAGACCATAATCAACTCTCGATGTCAACGCTAGCCTACGATATTTATGGGATTATGTTCCAATTTGCTGATCTACTTTCATTCATGATTTAATCATGAAATGGATAACCGAGACTATGTTTTTTATCGTACCGACTTTAGTAATGATGATCGAGACAAGCCGAAATTTCAATCGCTAAATTCTCCGTTCATAGTGGATCAATTTGATTGAAATTTTCGGCAAATTGCCTTTACATTATCTAGTTTTTAACTATTATAGTGAGAACTGCCAGCCTTTTTATCTAATCTCCCATAATGTATCTTTAATTAATAGCCTGTTATTAAACTTTTGTATATTTTTCAGAAGTGAAAACATTGAGAATCCAAATCAAAGAGGAAAATTAAATTTAACGTTAGGAAATAAATTCTCAGCGCTGCAGAACTGATGATGGAACATTTAGAAAAGGTGAAAATGAAAGATGGCATTAATGTAAAAAAAAATGGATTATATTATTTTCCTTTTTTTTTTTTGCTGTGAATGGAACCAGAAACCTTAGAATGGACAAATGTTTTTTCAGTGAATGTGATGAAATTGTGGGGTGCCAATAATTTGTGCCCGAATAAGAATTTAAAAAAATATTATTTATGTCATCTTAGTTATCATTAATGCCATTACAAAATATCGGGAAATTTAATATGCTTTCCATTCCTGGGAATATTATTATCTTGCCAGCAGATAAAAAATGAATTCGATATACATGAAAACAATATATCCATAATTTCTAAAAAAATAAAAATGCATGTATTCAGACGAAATTATTTTGGCACTTTTTGGATTAATAATCGGTTATTATTACACCAGTTTACTGGTTGTAGTTGATGAAAATGAAGATGTTAAAATTTTTTTGCTAATTTGTGATCAAGAAAATTGAATTTTTAGAAAAAACATATAAAAGATAACTTTTGATGTGTTAAGAATTAATAAGAAAATGTTATTTATATAAAATTAAATGGTTGCTAATTTGTGATCAAGAAAATACATTTTTTACAAACACAAAAAATGTGTCTTTAGATGCTTAGAGGTAAACAGAAAAATGATTTTCCTTAAATGAAACATCGAGAGGTAATCTTTGATCATACGAAACGTGGTTGGTTTATTTTTCCTTGGGCTTAGGGTACAATAAATGACCTTATTATACTTCAAGGAACATATCTTAAAAACGATTTGTATTTGAGTTTCATTTGAGTCAACATTGTATGCGATAGCTGTTCTTTAAATATGCACTAGTCAGTATGCTAGATTCAAGGCTGTTTAATAGACTTGTAAAACTTCTGGTTCTGTTATGTTAAATAAATATAGGCTGTACAGTGTACACAGGGGTATATTTTCTTCCTTTTCCACTGATATTTCTGCTGGAAACAAGGTACATGACGACTAAATTATGAAACCCATTAGGAAGAAAATAGTTACATTTCAGTACTGTTAACCCATAAAACCTATTTATTATTTGTTCCAACTTGGAAGTGATCTTAGGAAGCAAAGGTACAGTTAAAAAAAACATCTATGGAAGAATATATACCTCTGAATGCACATACACTGTAACCCAGGTATAATTTAATCTTGTGTATCTAGCACTAAATTCTTTCACATTCGTTTAATATCAAATCTTTGTTTAAAGCTCGCCATTCAATTTTGATGATGAGTGAAGGAAATTAGTGCTAGATACACAAGATTAAATGATACTTGAGTTACAGTGATAGTTGAATGTCATATATACTGTAAGATAAGAAATTGTGCCTTGTGAAATTGACAAGAGTTAGAAGGGGTCGATATAAATGTGATTTGAAATTAATGCAAAGGCTCCTAGCAATTTAAGTAAAAGCAATAGCAGACCAAAGGGTTAAAGGTGAAGGGCGTGACCGAATGTTGTATTGATATAAAGCACTGTCTCACGTGAGACCTTTGTCAGTGATATCTCTTCAGTTGAAGCGGACGTTAATAAAAGGTTTAATGGTCATGGGCGAGACCGAATGTTGTATTGATATAAAGCACTGTGCCTCACTTAGGCACTGAGTTCACAAAGCATTCTCAGACATAAGTAAAGAATTTACTCAAAATTGTTCACCTTATTTTAACTAAAATATAGCCCTTTATATAAAAGTTTTGTTGTTTTAATGTGTCAAATACATCAATAAGAAACTATGTGCAAAGTTTTGTGTTTCTGGGTCAAAGATATTTCTCATAAACAGTAATTGAAAGTTGAGTAAATTCTTAACTTAAAGTAGGTAAGTCTGTAGCTCAATATCATCCAAAATCTTCGACATTGAAAACACAAATATTTTTGCAATTTAAATCAGCATTGGTGTTGTGATTTTACCTGGAAAAGATGGGCTTCTGATATCCAATATTTAAGACAAAATAATCATTTTACCATTGGTACACAAATTGTGTACCATAATGCGTTTAAGCACCATTTGTAACAAGGTGCTCAAAGAATGAGGCTAGACATATTCCACAAGTCATGTCAAACGGTGATATCATGTTCTTATTTGGAGAGCATGTGCAATAAATAATATCGGTGTTGACTGGAATAACCAGGCGCTAGAAACTGACTTGCGATTAAGACTTCTGGCGTAACTGATGCCAATTCACAGTAAAACGGACACGATTGAATGTAAAACAGTTTATATAAATTCATATTACATTATTATATGTGTTGCGACCCATTTGTGCCAATTTCTAGGTCCAAAATATTAGCGATTAAGTCTGATATCACTTAAGTTGAAGTGGACATTAATGAAGGCTACTTCACACACATATTGAGATACAGATTACACTAACACTCGCATACATTTCTGATAAATCATCTCCCTGGTGTATTTTCTACATTCTTTTTTGTAGCCTAGAGCGTACTCTTTTAGAATCTGCCATATGAACCTAAGTAACTTTGGAGCGTTTTGAGAAATTCAAGATGGTGTCCGAGAATTCCTCAAAACCCTCAAGGGTGACCAAGGTTCACCTGGCAGATTCTAAAATCAATCATAAAAAACTTTGTATACAATTTCCAGGTTCAGCCATGGTTCTGCCGGAATATCACTAACAAATGTTTAAAGTGTAACTCCTCTGAGCCAGGTAGCATGATTTTGATTCCCCACTTGTATGTGACAAGGGGGGGTAGGAGTCGCCTGCCCAATCTCGTGGGTTTTCTCCGGTTCCTCTGGTTTCCTCCCACTGCTAAAGATCCCTACTCACAAGCAAATTATTGAAATAAAATTGAACCATCTGTTAGTCCCGAAATGACCTAGATTAAGTCAGTGGACGTTCAACCCCATTTCTCTATCTCTGTACACCTGGGAATACAAAAAATTGTTAGCAGAAACGCATACATGAAAAGCGAGCCTAAAATTGGCACAGTGTCAGTACTATGGTTTGAAATTATGCTCCACTGTGTCAAATATCTCTATTTATAAATTGGTCTCCAGTAACCCAACATAATTATTTTATTTCCATAAATAACTTTATCTTGGATAACTAATATAGTTAATAATCATATATTTCCTTCAAGAAATGTGTTGACAAATAAATAAATATGTACTCTATACAGCTCTAGAAAATTCTGTATTTCTTTATTTGTTCTTTAAATGCATGAATTTCTTGTTTTACAGTAGTTCTCAATCACATTGTTTTAACTCGAGTCCACATTATAGAGTCTTTAATGCCGTTGATTGTTATTTGAGGGATATTGCAAAATACGATAAAAGTTGAATCTCTGAAAGGAATATAATTCTAGAAATAAATCAATTTAGTTCAGTATTTACATAAATATGATAAATTTAAATTATCTCAAGGTTGGGCATCTTTTGCAACCGATATAAACAAGCCAACGCCACCTATAAGTATTGGGTAAAATATTATGATGGACCTCTTTTTTTATTACATATGAAAAAAAAAGGTTCTCGTAATTATGTTATAACTATCAATTTTAGTGTGGATTAAGCTCTGGAAATAGATTTGTTCGGAAAATTTGAGATTGACGAATTTAATAGAATGGAGATCTATTATAAACAATACAGTAAACTTTGCATAAGTCGGATCCAAGTAGACTGACCAGTTTTATCCGAGTAAAGCAAGATCCGAGTTAGCCGAAGATCGAAATTCAGTCTTGGTTCGTTAGCAATAAACTGCAAGAGCCGGATAAGAATTGATTCAAAGGCACATATCAATCTTTTGTTCGTACGTGCAGTAGATAACTTCCGTTTTGTGGCCATCTTTGAAAAATGTCCTAAATTTGAGTCAAAATCATAGGGGAAAGTATTTTGGGGCTCTGTGCATGGAATACCTAACCGCGTTTGAGACCATCGGTACGAAACTGACTTAGTCAAATTCTGAACATACTGCCGATCCGACTTGGGCGAAGGAAAAAAAGCCGGAATTAGATCAAATGGACCGAACATTTTGATCTGAGTTGAACAAAGATCCAACATAGGAAATCCGACTTACGCACAGAAATTTAATAAGAAAAACGTGCAGTATCAAAGGGTCCAAACGATTTTATCCGAGTTGAGCAAAGTTCTGACTTATACGAATCCGATTTATGCTCAGTTTACTGTATATTCAAGGAGACACTTTAGTATAGATTACACTTGTACAGTATTAAACTGAGAAAAAGGTTAAAGGTCGTCTGTAATAAATGTTTTAGTTTTGATTTTCATTTTAGTATTTCCCAACTTCTTGTGTCATTATTATTTTACCCTGAAATCATTTCGATTTCTGTTGTTAATTTATTGTTCCATTAAAAAACGAAGACTAAAATTGTATTTAATTATAAATTGTAAAAAGAACTTTAATAAGTTTATCAAAAGGCTGACATGTTTTTAATAATTAGGCCAAAGATATGAAATTTAAGATAAGTTGGAATTGTTTATGAATTTTCAAAAGGTAATTACATATATTGATTTGAGTGATGCTAAAGTAAAATCTGAAGTCAGAACCACGTATAAAAGATTAATTTCTACTGAATAACTCCCTTTCTATTTCCTTAGATATATAAATACTATGAAATTTTCAGAAGTCGTATATGGATTGAAAGAAACAGAAGTCGACTATTATCAAGTGCTTGAATATTATGCATATCTGTACTTAGTTTATTTATGCTCTTATTTCAGAAAGTGCTAATGTTAAAACTTATTATATTTGTAAGATAAATTTGCCTTAAAAATTACGATTCTTCTAAAAAAAAATATATTACCAATCAAACCATGTACATATGAACATCGTGACAAAAAACCTTATTAAAATATATCTAAAATCAAAGTAGTTGGTTATTATCTATGTGGCTACTCAAACAGGATTCGATTCTGGTGTTGGTCGAGAAAGTATCTCGTGATAGTCGGTGATGTAGGACGGAGAGTCCGGCAAAGTAACAGCATCTACCCAAGAAATCAAGGAGCCATGGTGACTAAGTGGGTAAGATGCATGCTCTCTTCCTGAAGGGGGGGTTGGATGGCCGAATGGTGAGCGTGATGTATCATACGGCCTGTCATTGAGTCAACTGGCGTGGTTTCGAATCCCCGGTTGTACGTGACAAGGAGTAGGGTCGCCTGTCCAACCTCGTGGGTTTCCTCCGGTTTCCTCCCACTGCTAAAGACCCCTACCCGCAAGCGAATTAATGAAATAAAATTAACCAAATGTTAGTCCCAAAATGACCTAGTTTGTGTCGAGTGGACGTTAAACCCCATTTCTCTCTCTCTCTCTCTCATCCTGGAGGTCGAATGTTCGATCCCTGCATTGCCTGAGAGAGTTCATCAGGATTTTCTGGCGTGGTTCCCCCTGGTCAGTGATGCAGGACAGAGGGCCTGACAAGGACAGCTGTCTAGTCATTCGAATGGAACGGAAACCGAGGTCCTGTGCACACAATGGCATGCATGTAAAAGATCCCTTGATAGTTGGAATTCGATGTAAGAGTAGGCCGTAGTGCCACTGTCCAAGCAAAATTTCCCTCATAGCACACTGTATGGCATATGCCCGTCTTCATTATCCCAATTCAGAGTAGGACGTTAAACCCCATTTCATTTTGTATCTATTCAAATAGGATTCGATTCTAGTGTTGGTCGAGAAAGTATCTCGGGATAGTTGGTGATGTAGGACGGAGAGTCTGGCAAGTAACAGCATCTACCCAAGAAATCAAGGAGCCATGGTGACTAAGTGGGTAAGATGCTGGCTCTCTATCTCTGAGGTCAAGTGTTCAATCGATCCCTGCATTGGCCAAGAAAGTTCATCAGGATTTTCTGGTGTGGTTTCCATTGTCAGTGGTGCAGCACAGAGGGCCTGACAAGGACAGCTGTCTAGTCTTTCAGATGGCATGAAAAACCAAGGTCCTGTGTATACATTGGCATGCACGTAAAAGATCCCTTGGCGGATGGAATTTGGTATAAGAGTAGGCCATAATGCCGCTGCCCGAGCAAATTTGTTCTCATAGCATACTCAATACTTTCTGTTTGTCATTGGTGTGGTTTCGATTCCCCGGTTGTAGGGTCACCTGTCCAACCTCGTGGGTTTTCCCCGGGTCCTCCATTTTCCTCCCACTGCTAAAGACCCCTACACGCAAGCCAAAAATTGAACCATATGTTAGTCCCAAAAGGAACTGGTTTGTGTCGAGTGGACATTAAACCCCATTTCTCTCTCTCTTGACAGTGCTGAAGACCATAAGGTGAGTACGTCATGGGTTTATCAAGGAAGATGATTTCCTCTGGGTAGCAAGTTTTCTCCCTACCTCTTAAAAAAAACTTTAGTAGAAGAAACTGTTGAATTGACCTAGCTAGTTGAATGGGCACTAAACCCAATTTCTCTCTGTATGTAGATTGTCGAGAGTGGTCTGAAACATTACTCCGGTTTCCTCCCACTGCTAAAGACCCCTACGCGCAAGCGAATTATTGAAATAAAATTAAACCATATGTTAGTCCCAAAATGACCTAGTTTGTGTCGAGTGGACGTTAAACCCTATTTCTCTCTCTCTCTCTCTGAAACATTACATTCACAGATTGGGGGCAGGGTGGAAGGTGGAAGTAAGGTATGGATTGTGATGGGGGAGGAGGGGCCTGGCCAAATGAAGGAATGGGCTAGTGATGGTTCAAGAGTATGGTGTGGGCTTGTGATGAGGTGAGAAGAATGAATTGGTATAGAGCTAAGAAGCATTATACACATTAACCAAATACTTGAGGGGTCAGGAGGAAGGCATTGTGGCCTAGCGGTGCAAGTACAGATTGTTCTAGTAATTGGAAGGGGTGGGCTAGTTGTGGTGTAGGATGAGAGAACATGATTACCAGAACACAATTCAGCCTAGTGATAAGCTTAGTTTAAGCAAATGACCTAGTGGTCGGCATAGGCGTACGGGCTAGATGACAGTTAGGGGGGCGGGAACTCGAATTGCCCGAAAAAATTTCGAGTTTACAGACAGTGGCGCGGTCTTCCTTGAGAGGCGAAGAATCTGAGCTTACTTGTGTGGATCCCCCAAAAGAAAATTTTGGAATATCTGACGGCTGCAAACACGTTTTCTTGCTATTTCAGCCCGTGAACAAAGCAACTTCAAAGTGGTCTAATATAGGCTAATTAAGATGGCTGGCTCGAATTCCAATCAAAAGATCAATAGTTTACAGTCCACGGAGACGGGACCGTCGGGAGAAAATTTTGAATATTTAACCACCGCAAATGCGTTTTTTGCTATTTTAGCCCGTGTAAGCAACTCCAAAAGTATCCAATGGTTTTGTAACCGAAATCCCATTCTGAATTCCAACCATCCAATCAGACTGTTGCAGCTGCATTCACAATATGAGACTTGAAGAACAAACTGGCATAGTGGCCTTGGTATTAGTGATATAATGGATTTCAAAACAAACTAATGCTTATATAAATTCATCTCTGATTGAACATGACAAGGACACACAGTCAGGTGTTTATAAATCATTATGATTGATGAGCATGACCAACTAATCAGAGCTGTTTATGAGAAACTCTAAAAAATCCAATATATCAATATAAATTTCCTCAAAATTTGTTCAAATCAATGGCTGTTCTATTTGAATCGATGATCGATTAAACATTGATAACTGAAATATCAGATACCAAGCAATTCCCAGAGACCGACAAAAAGACATTACTTTTTAATCAACTTAGTGCCAGCGGAAATTGGTGAAATGAAATGAAATGGGGCTTTAATGTCCTACCCTACTGTTTTGCTCCGAACTGGGCTAATGCAGACGGGCAAACGCCATACATAGTGCTATGAGGGGAGTTTTGCCCAGACAGCGGCACTACGGCCTACTCGTATATCGAATTCCAACTGTCTAGGGATCTTTTACGTGTACGCCAATGTGTATGCAGGACTTCGGTTTATCATCCCATCCGAGCGACTAGACAGCTAGCTGTCCTTGTCAGGCCCTCCGACCTGCATCACTGACAAGGGGGTACCACGCTGGAAAATCTGGATGAACTTTCTCGCCCAGTGCAGGAATCGAACACCCGACCTCCAGGCTAGCGAACCAGCGTCTTACCCACTTCGCCACTGTGATCCCCCGGCGGAAATTGGTATTTACGCAATACAGTAGTGAATGGATGACCAAATGTATTATTTTCAGATTTTAAACACCATGCTCTTTATTTCATTTAGCCCATACAAATGACACCAAGTTAACCAAAATATGGAATACATTTAATATATTTAATTCTGTATAAAAATTGAAATCAACATAAAATTTCATATATTTAATTCTGTATTTAAATTGAAATCAACATAAAATTTAGTAAATGACCAGAATGAGGAAATTAATTAATTATTTACTATATTTAATTCTGTATAATAATTGACAGCAATATATATATATTTTTATAATACATTTCGTAAGGGACTGGAATGAGCAAATTAAATAAATCATTTAATATATTCAATTCTGTATAATAATTGACAACAATATATATATTTTTATAATACATTTCATAAAGCAAATTAAACAATCATTTTAAATATAAAGAATATGCAAAGGAGTTATTAGATATACATTATGACAAAATAAACAAGCCAACAGTGAGGCTGTTTATTCAAAACAGCTAGTACAAAAATATTTTACTATGTATTCAAATCAGCTAGTACAAAAATATTTTATTTTTTATATGGTCCAAAACATTTAATACGAAAAATTTTATTTCATTTTAAAAACAGGCCTAATGCCGAAAATTATTTTATTTTTTATTTCATCCAAAACATTTAATAGAAAAATATTTTATTTCATTTTAAAAACATTCAAATATTTCATGTATTAAAAACATCCTAAGAAAAATATTTTACTAAACTAGTACTAAAATTTAAATGATAGGCCTAATGCCGAAAATTATTTTCTTTTGTAGCTGTGACATCACATTATTTCCTCAATAGATGTAACGTTTTCACTGCAAGATAAATAATAGAGAACTGTGCAACAAAACACAGACAGAAACAACAGAATACAATCAGCAAACACTAAATATCAATTATCAGACACTGTTCAAAAAAATTTGAAATGGGAAGGAGGTTATCGTTGTTCCTCCCACTGCTAAAGACCCATACGCACAAGCGAATTATTGACATAAAATTGAACCATATGTTAAAATAAAATGCATAAATTACGGGCCTGTTTCACGAAATTTTAACTAAGATAAAATAAAAATTTTAGTAATTTGATTGGATTATATTAGATTGATTTTAGTGCTTAGCTAATCAAAACTGAAGTATCTGCTAAAATTTGGATTTTTTTTTTAGTTAAAATTTCATGAAACAGGGCCCAGACTTTTATTATGCTAATACTGTATGGAATTCAAAATCCATGAGATCATGTAAAGTTAAAATTATTTCAAATAATAGTACTGGCATTGTGCCAATCATAATTTATTATTTCTTCAAAATGGTAGAAACCATATGGACAGGCGACCCTACTCCTTGTCACGTACGACCGGGGATTCTAAACCACGCCAGTTGACTCAATGACAGGCTTTATGATACAGCATGCACGTGCTAACCATTCGGCCATCCAACCCCCCTGAGAGAAGTTATGTCGTAGAAGGACAGTATAGTCTCGATTGTCATTGCTATGATAATAAATAAGTCTTGATTATCCATTTTTTAATTAAATATTAACTGGTAATCATGTTTAAATCAGTTGATAATCAAAACCATCCGATGTTCTAGAGAGTTGATTATGGGTTTGGCATGGGAAAAAATGTCTTATTAATAATTGATATAAAATTTAAGGCCCAGCCCAATGTCTACATCAGCAGATTTCGCTCTTACATAAAACATCTTTAAACACATTAACTACTTCATATCCGGGAGAAGTCAAATATTCTTGAAGCACACAGTTTACCAGGGAATTACTAATTTTGATACACGTCATCTTTGTATAGATGACCATTTTTGCTGTCTCTTTCATACCTTTGTACATATGGTAATTCTGGTGTAGATCTATATGTCTCTAAATATGGTAAATCTAACAACTTAGGTTGATATTTCTTGAGAAAATAACACCAACAAGTAAAATTCTGGGGTTGAGGTAGGGCTTCATCTTTCTCATTTGTTACAAGACTAATCTCGGTTTCCAATCTTTCATATAGGTCTGGATGGCCTTCAAATTTATCACAATGACTCAGCATTTTACTGTCTACCTCCATAACTTCCCCTTCAATATTCTGGAAATAAATGTAGATTTTGTTCCAAAAATAAATGAGGGTAGTGCTGGGGGCTACCAAAAATAAGGGGTTTTCCGTTCAATTAATTTGCGAAATTGGGCATGCCTCTGCATTTTGCAAAATTGAATGTCTGAGTCTTGTTTGAACTGCTGTAAAAGAGAGAGAGAGAGAGACAGAAATGGGGTTTAACGTCCACTCGACACAAACTAGGTCATTTCGGGACTAACATATGGTTTTAATTTTATTTCAATAATTCGCTTGCGCGTTGGGGTCTTTAGCAGTGGGAGGAAACCGGAGGACCCGGAGAAAACCCACGAGGTTGGACAGGTGACCCTATTCCTTATCACGTGAACGTAAGACATGGGGTGTTCACAGTGTGACCCCAAAAACAACCACTTTTCTATAGCCTTACTTTTATTTCCATGGGTAAACACACAGGACCCCAGTTTTTTGTTCTATCCTAACAACTAGACAATTTTGCTTGCCAGGCCCTCCTGCAGCACTGAGTGATTAACAAGGGGAAAAACCAGGCTGGAATATCCCATGGAACTTTCTTGGATCGAACCTAGAAACTCTTGGTTGGTAGGTCACTGAACTACTAGTTGAGCTGAGAGATCAAACAGTCTAAGGTACCTATCATCAATACAAGTGTCATGGATTTAAACCCAGCTTGTACATCACAAGGAGTACAGTCACCTGCCTAACCAGGTTTTCTCTGGGTACTACAATTTCATCAACTTCTAAAGACCTCAGCAAACAGGATATCATTGAAGTAAACTATACTATACAATATGTTAGTCCCAAAATGACCTTGTCTGAGATATGTGGCTAGACACTCTGTTAAGCCCTTTCTCTTAAAGATACATTATGTAAGATTTAGATAAAGAGCTGACCATTCTTGCTATAATGGCTCAAAAACAGATAATGTAAAATAAAAATATTGAAAATTTCCTTCAAATTACTTCATTCTGAGCCAAGTTATCACTGTTTGTAGTTCTGACAAGATGTGTGCTTTAAGTGGTAACCAGGGCACTGGTATATTCGAGACTTAGCCTCACATTCCCATTTTTAAATTAAATTTTTAAATGGAGAACCATTCTAATCTAGTTAAAATCTCGAGTATACGATGCCATCGAGAGTTGATTATGGTCTTGATTTCTTAATAAATGTCTAATTAATAATTTATACAACATTACAGGCCTAAATAAAGACCTGCAATAGGCAAATTTAATTCTTGTATAATGTATGTTTAATAGGAGACTGAGTGACTCAATGGGTTAAAAGAGAGAGAGAAATGGGGTTTAACGTCCACTCGACACAAACTAGGTCATTTCGGGACTAACATATGGTGTAATTTTATTTCAATAATTCGCTTGCGCGTAGGGGTCTTTAGCAGTGGGAGGAAACCGGAGGACCCGGAGAAAACCCACGAGTTTGGACAGGCGACCCTACTCCTTGTCACGTACAACCGGGGAATCGAAACCACGCCAGTTGACTCAATGACAGACTTGATGATACAGCACGCACATGCTAAACATTCGGCCATCCAACCCCCCTCAATGGGTTAACACTTGCGCTTTAGATCACGAGGTCTGTCATTGAGTCAACTGGCGTGGTTTCAATTCCCAGCTTGTACATGACAAGGAGTAGGACCACCTGTCCAACCTCAAGTATTTTCTCAAGGACCTCCGGTTTCCCCCTGCTGCTAAAGTGTAAAGACCCCTATGTGCAAGCAAATTATTGAAAAAAATTTAACCTTGCGTTCGTCCCGAAATGAACTGGTTTGTGTCCCGAAATGAACTGGTTTGTGTCGAGTGGTTATTTTAAACACTATTTCTTTCTCTCTCTCTCAACACTGCTGAAGATCATAAGGTATGTTTGTCATGGGTTTGTCATGGGTTTGTTAAGGAAGATGATTTCCTCTGGGTACGCCAGTGTTTCGTCCCAAAATAACCTAGTTTGTGTCAAGTGGATGTTAAACCCCATTGCCCTCTCTCTCACTCTCTTTTCTGTTGATATTTACTTACCTGACCTGAGCCTGGTTTAAACAGTAAAAATGGTATATTATACTGCGAAGCAATCACTAATGGATATTTCTCTGTGGTTTTGCCTGAACCTTTAAACAAAGCCAATCCATTACTGTTTGCAAACTGAGCTTCATTCGGTTGGCCTCTTTTTAAAGTACCATACACAAAGATTAAAAATCTGCCTTGAGAAGTCATTTTAATACCAGTTAACCTTTGTTAAGATTTGTAAAGCTGTAAATAGTAAATAATGACATTTTTTAAAGGAGCACCACAAGTACTGCTACTCATTCACTATAATAGGGAGAGAGAGAAATGGGGTTTAACGTTCACTCGACACACACTAGGTCATTTCGGGACTAACATATGGTTTAATTCTATTTCAATAATTTGCTTGCGCGTAGGGGTTTTTAGCAGTGGGAGGAAACCGGAGGACCCGGAGAAAACCCAAGAGGTTGGACAGGCGACCCTATTCCTTGAACCGGGGATTCGAAACCACGCCAGTCGACTCAATGACAGACTTTATGATACAGCGGGCGCACGCTAACCATTCAGCCATCCACCCCCCCGCTCCCCATTCACTATAATAATCAGTTAAAGAAATGTAATGAAATGAAATCAAGTGGGGTTTAACCTCCTACTGTTCTGCTCCAACTGTGCTAATGAAGACAGACATATGCCATACAGTAGCCTATGTTGTGACACAAATTTTTGCCCAGACACTGATGCTACAGCCTACTCTTATTGAATTTCAACTGCCAAGGGATCTTTTATGTGCATGCCAATGTGTACACAGGACCTTGGGTTTTTTGTCCCATCCAAATGACTAGACAGCTGTCATTGTCAGGTCCTCCATCCTGCACCAATGACAAGGGGAAACTACGATGGAAAATTCTGATGAACTTTCTCGGCCAAAACCAGAAGCTAACCCACAACCTCCAAGGTAGAGTGCCAGCGTTTAACTAAAGAAGTTAAACCTCTCACTCAAAAGATTTTCCATAATATTCGAAATCAAAAATACAAATAGAATGCAACATTTGTCCATTTCAACCTTCAATACCGGTAGGTCTACTGATGTTGCTATGGCATTCTACTGAGTATGTACTAAGGTAGGCCTATGAATTTACTTAAGGCGGATTTGGCATGGCCAACAAATGGTGACATTTTACCAACTCAGAAGTGGGTTAATATGCCCATTATTGAATACTCGAAGAATTCAGGTTTCCACAAGTAACAGTTTAATACCCTTTTGATACCCAGTGGTGACCTTTGACCTACCCATGCAACAAATCGGGTTTATCCAAAAATTGACGCCTGACGGATTCGTATTGCCCCAAGGGTTCCCACGCAACAGTTTGATACATATTTTGTGCCTTTACTGAAGGTATCTACTTTCTTCGATTCTACACCAACCTTTCAACAAAAATCGTCATGCAAAAAGCGTACTGTTAAACCAAATGAGGGTATTAATGGTGGTCTGCATCCGTGTATAATAGATGGGATCAGACCAACAATACACTCCCCCATGAATTTTAATTTACATGTGTCTCTTTGTCCGACTCTGACTGTCCCCATTTTCAGTTGAGCCAGAATTTCTCTACCGCAGATGCAGCAGCATCTGGAAATTTTTAAATCTGAAGCCCGTGTTATGTTGACCATGAAAATTTTGAGATACACAAACTGGAAGTAGCATACTAATAATCACGAATCACGTCGCTGTGCGTACGTAACTAACGTACGAAAATTAAATAGTAGCTGGCTTTTTTTTCGCACGTATACAGTGAATGGCCATTTTGCTCAGTAATCCCAGCCAGAATTTGGCTATTTTTTTAAAATTGCGTTAAAGTTTTAAATTTTTGTTTAGAACTGAAATAAATTAACTTTTAGTCAATCCCCGCACTAAAAACATTAACAGAATTGATTGTGTATATCTGAAATAGACACGACCGAAGCACAAAATAGTGCCAATATGCCGACGTCAAATCTAGAGTTGTAGATGATGTTATTTTTGTGAAAAATCATTGGAAGAAGCGATAAGACGTTCTGTACGGATTATACAGTCCTAAAGGCTGCAAGAAGGCTATTGTTTACAATGTAACATTGTGTCTTGTAATGTTGATAATGATCATAATGGTGGTGTTTACATTTGTTTGTTGATGTGACCTCATGACCTGTGACGGTTAGATAACGTCATATGGATATCATGGCTATTCACTGTGTCAGAGTCACTTCTCTGCAGGTAGGGTGAGTCTGTGGTTCAGATTGGTCGCTGTGCTGGAAATGAACGTTCCCAAAAGTATTTAGGTGATTTTATCAATGTTTTAGTTTTATGCTAAAGTAGGCCCGTTTCGAGTTGGGGGTGGGGGGTGCACGGTGGGCTGGGAGTGATTTGTATTTTTGAGGGTTGAATGGAGTTTCCTGGGCGACCTCTGGTTCAAACTCACCAATATCCAACCCAGCATTCGCAGGGGGGGGGGGGGCATGTTCCTGAGACAATGTATCCCCCCCTCCTCCCGCTTGGTCTCTATCGTCATTTTGGCGTATATACATACACATTGAGCTTTTAAAACAGAGAAATTCAATACCGCGTTTCACGTCAATTTTTATTATGAATTAATACAATGACTTTGTGATTCAATTTCATGGATGCAAAGCATTAATTGTGATATCACATAATGTCTATATCATTATCTCGTGCTTTGAGTGCCCATCCTGCCCCAAATCTGACGATAAAGGATAAAGCACACGGCCGAGAAACCTTTCTCATAAAAAGTGTAGATTTACAAAAAATTTATGTAGCTGAGCAGGGGGGGGGGGGGGGGTCGATCCCCCAACCCCCCTCTGGATCCGCCCCTGATTCGGGCACTGATTTAGATTCAACAAGCTCAAGGCTTCCGTTGACTGCTTTTGGCTGAATGCATCAACAATGCTGAATGGGATTGGAGAACAGGCTTAGTCGACTCGGTGAACATTCTCAACCAACACTGGGATCGAATACGGGACCTGCTGGTTCGCGGGCTAAGGTCTTTATCACTGATCGAGTCATCGCGGTCTCCAATATCAAAAACGATCGGACAATACAAAATAGCGCCAAAAGGACAATTAGCGCATGTGGTTGGCTTGCCGGGTTGCACTCTGTAAGAATGATTCCTGATTATAAGAGGTTAGATTTTAATATTATTAATGAGCCAATTCATACATGTTCTTATACTGTCAACAGAGAATTTGAATGTTGCGATATTTTTAACAGAACTTAAAGATGCCCTCCCGCATACAAAATGGGTGATTTGGTAATATATTTGTTCTAAAAACATATTCAAATTTGCTTCAAATCCCTCCCAAAACAATATACCCCAAGATATATAAAATCTATTTTCAGAAGCCATGTTTGTCATGTAACTTGATTGAGAGAGGAACCATTTTCAGAATGTATTTGTCGTATATTTGGTAATATATTTGTACTAAAAACATATCCAAATTTGCCTCAAATCCCTCTCAAAACAATATACCCCGAGATATATAAAATCTATTTTCAGAAGCCATGTTTGTCATGTAACTTGATTGAGGGAGGGACCAATTTCAGAATGTATTTGTCGTTACTAACTGCACATCTGCCATACATATTGAAGCCTAAGTAAAGTCTAGGATTATCTTCGGTCAACTTCTTTTTCCGCCGTTTAATTGCATGCGAGTCCTTTGTACGTTTAAACCCCTCAGTGTTCCCAAAAACCCCTAACCATTTGATCAAGATATGCCAAGATGACAGACAATAAGCCGTCGGGTTGCCAGTTAGTAATACCCTGATATTTTTGCTCAGTACTTGCCTCGTGTGTGTTTTTTTAGGGAATCTAGTATTTGTCTAGTAAGAGTGGGCGTCTCTACTTAACTTTCCATATATACCAAATTTGCCATACTTTTATTTGTGAGAATGTATCTTCAATGAGTCAGTTCATACATGTTATTAAATGAGCACCTAAGCCTCAACGTTCAAATCAAAACGTTAAACCCCGTCGACCTTGACGAAATCTGCAGTTGGCCTTAATAGTTAGACATCGCTAGGGATTGGCCAATCAAATGGTGTGTTGCGTCATGTTCTTGTCATCTAGCACTAGGAACTGTTGATACAAATCAAAGCAGAAGTTGTATCTCCGATTACCCACTTAAAACACAGACGCTGATTCGTTAATCGAATACCTAACCTCATACGGCGGCCAAAAGACGCCCCTATTACACCCGAAACGACCTCTTAATACAGGGGGTCAAATCTTAATGTTCTGGAGGCCATCGCAAGTATAAAATATATGAAACGATAGATCTGTATTTTAATCAGATTGGCGCGTATGTCAATCTGATTAAAACACAGATCCTATTTCGTTTTATTTTTATAGTTCAAAATTTTGTTTTACTTGTCTTTACTACACTAGGATCTGGAAGAGTTGTTATCATTATCGTGTTGTGAATCATGTGAGCTATTAGCCAATGAAACGGTCTGTTAAACGGCGAGCTTTAGGCGTGTCTTGCACGGAACTGTGGGTAATCCACTAGTAACATCAATGCTGACTGGTTAAACAAATGTCTGACGTCATAGAGTCAAAATCCGCTCGTATGACATCTGACCCGATTTATCGCTACAACCGGTCAGATCTTCCCATGTAGTGTAGGCCATCGAAAGTACAAAAAAACGAAACGAAATATAGATCTGTAATTTAATCAGATTACGCGTTTGTTGACGTATTTCTGAAGATTACTGACATTTGGAATCGTGTCTTAGAGCCGCTAGTTTGTGACTGCTCTTGTTCGTAGTTCCTACAAAACAACCTTTTATACGCTTTTCTAAACTTCTCTTTTCTCCAAGCGTATATTATAGGATTTGCACATGAATTACACATACCGATACAGATTGCGATTTGAGCGTATTCCGCTCTTCCGGGTAAGTCTCCCACCACCGAGACGATTATCAAAGCAATACTTGGAATCCAAAATAACATGAAAACACCAAATACGACGACACTGGTAAACGTCTGTACATAGATCGGCGTAGTATCGCAACAGACTGGATGGAAATTACGTTTTTGAATATTAATCTGTCGGGTCGCTTTCAGGGCTTTACAAAGGACTAAAATATTGGCGGAAATAATAAAAATAATTTGAAAAGCCATGATAAACATTATACAGAACACAACTTCAGAAGGGAAAACCTTTTTAACATCACATTTAATGGATTGTGGCCAGTTATTCCAACCCGATAAGGGGGCAATTCCTGGAACAAGCATTAGAAGTATAGCCACCGTTGTTAGTTTAATATTCCTACGCCATGTCACGTGTCCTAAATAGAAGTATGGAAAGTAAATGGCCACCATTCGCTCGAGCGCCATCATTGCCATGACAGTAACGGATGCTCCGTAACTGACAAGAACCAAAAATGGTTTCAACAAACAAACAATTCGATATTCGTTTAAACAGGGAAAAAGGGTGGTCATAATATCGTAAGGTAGATAGGTTATTCCGGCCACCAAATCAACACATGCTAAACACGCAATCATAACATTGGCGGGATTTCGAAGATTTTTAAACTTACTAATAACGATCATAGTAGACATATTGGCTATTAATATTGGGCATATGATGATAAATTCCAGTATAACTATAAACAGTTTATAATTCAGCTCTGTGTTTTCTTCAATCGCAGTTGACATTGCCTGGCTTCCGTTTTGACACCATATAAACATATTTATTTTTCAGTGGCTATTAAGTCCGATATATCCAACTCTCTTTTATCAGACCCGAACAAGATCCCCTCTATAGGTCTTGTCGGGTGACATGCTTAAGACAGTCTATGCTTACTCTTGCTAAAACTCCTGACAACGCTTCTATAACATTAACACATTCTTGTTATACGAAGTCAAACGCAGTCAATGTGTTTGTTTGAGCGAAACTCATTATCTTGTAAATCAATGTCCACACCTTCCTTGCCTCAATGTCTTCTTTCTTTACTGGCAACAGGTTGGTTGTTTCCTGTCGCAAAAATCAACAAACTGTTATGAAGGTGAGACTGTTATAAAGGTAAGATGAAACTGTTATAAACTGTTTATAAAGGTGAGATGTAACTGTTATAAGAAGAACTGTGTTAATTCGGAGTACTTCCATTGTGATACCTGTGCTATTTATAACCTGTAAAAAAAAGAATAAATTACTGACTACATATTATGATTTCGTAAATTTTAACCAGTTAAAGATACATTATGGGTGATTCGATAACGAGTTGGCAGTTCTCACTATAATAGTTAAAAACTAGATAAAGTAAAGACAATTTGTTGAAAATTTCATTCAAATTGATCCACTATGAACCGAGAACAAAGCGATTGAATTTCGGCCTAGCCTTGATCATCATTACTAAAGTCAGTACG